GATATATCCCGTCCTGATGGTCGTGGGTCACGCGCTTCTAACTCGAAGGAATCGAGCTGCATAAGTCCAGCATTTGGTGGGTGTGGTAGGGCTCGGGTGTGAGGGCTCACATTCGCCTCATCCTTTCTGTGGGCTTTGCGAATGACTTCTCTTGCTGTCCATGGTTCAGAATTCCGCTTCATCGCCGGACTTGGCATATCTGCCTCCAACCCTGCGGATGAGCCGGCTGCCGACAAGGTCTGAGATACTCGCTTCCGCTTGCGAAGGTCGCTCGGGGATTGAGCTGCGCCAAGGGAGCCGGACGAGAGTCTCGTTGTGCGGGCAATGTCGACGTGGCCAGCTAAGGCTATAAGTTCTTCTATCAGGAAGCGGGGTGCGAGGTGCCCAAAAAGAGTGTCGTCAGGCCGGTAGTCAGCGTATGAGCACTCGATAAAGATTGCCTTGAGTGTGCCATTTGCTATCTTTGGAGCGGCATCGGTCCAGACTTGGTGATTGCGAGGCGAGAGGGAAATACTGTCAGGTTCGACATCGCCGAAAATCAATACTTCACGCCCAGTCTTAATGTCTCGGATGAAATAGGCCGAAGAGTCATAAACGCATATACCGTCTTGACCGGCTGGATGTGACGAGTATTGTTGGCGAGGCGCCGGTGTAGAGTTTGAGGAAGATCGTTGCATAGCAGTTGCATCAATGCTATCGTGGGAAATGCGGCCATGTCCGACGGATGAACCTCGATGCCAGTGGTTTTCCATACAGTGGCCATGACTGACTGACCAAGTCTTGATGCTCAGTCCCTCGCATATCTCAACATAGCCTCTACTTTCTGCATTACCAAGGGCCGCTGATCCTCCTTCCATAAGACGCATGTAGGTAACCAGTCCAGCGCCGTCATTTTCGTCTGAAAGGTTGGGCCAGATGACGTTGTTGAATATGTGATTCTTAAACGCTGATATCGTCGAAGGAAGTGCAGCAATACGTTTTGGCCTGACACCAGGTAATGCGGCGGTATTTACAACCAAGCCGGATATATGGTCTAGATGTGGATGAGTGATGAGATAGGTATCGACGATGGCTTTAGTTACGTGGCCTGCATTCGCCTTCGCCGATATGTGAGGCAGCTCAAGGCCAGAGAATGCTCCCGAAGTAAGGAAGGACTTCTCGTTTACCTGCTTCCGCTCTGGAAGATGCTCCTCTATGATCCTTGCGATGCTCGACAGATGGGTTCCGGCATCAACAGCTAAGACGGAGCCCTTCTTCCAGTCCTCAGACAAGGAACGCACGAGGAATGCGGTTGTATTATCCTCTAGCGGACCCCCAGTGGACCCCTATGTACGCAGATTAGTATGATGCCCAAAAGAGTCATCTTGAGGTATCTCATGGAGCGATTAAAGTCAAGATTGAACAGGAGCGACACCAGCAGCCATCGTCGTCTGGCAGGTGGCAAGTCACGTGCCAATGGGAATGGGAACGACAACAGGATTGAGCAGCGCAATATTAGAAGACAAACGCAGGGAGACCAAGATCAATAGTAGGATTGAGACAAGACGGGATATGGTCAAACGGATAGTTTACCAAATTGGCCATTCCCCACATATAGGGCTGGCCGTGAGACAAGATGCAAGGCAGGGTTCCCATCGAGAAGCAAGACCAGGAGGGACGCTGGAAGCAAACAATTGCACTAGACTCACCAGGACTATAACCTGCAATGCAGGTGTCTCTTCTCCTTCGCCCATGGATCCGTATCCGTTGGTGTTGTCGACGATGCCTAGTTTCCAGCCAGCCCAGACCGCCTAAGATGAGGAAAGCTGGATTAACGCGTCGGTTGAGGCTCTAGACGATCTGCAAGCAGCCGTTTCCGGGACCCAGAGCCTTTGAAACGGTGTCTGCGGGTTTCTTTCACTCGCTGTATTAAACAATTCGCGGTGTATTTTCCAATGAACTTGTAAGTACAAGGGTAATGGAATGGTGGTGAGGAGTGGGAAGGTAGGAAGGTGCGTTGCCTTCCGTGCCTTTGAACCCCTGGTATGGAAGGTGCAGCCTACCGAGGAGCCGCAACTTCCAAGGAAGGAGTGACCAGCCACAGCCTGGGAGAGATGCAGAATGTCTTCAAATCATCATGATACTTATTGACAATCTATGGATGATGTACAGTAGGTAAAATTTGTGGGATTCGTCTGAGAAATTATCACAGGAGGGATTCTGGGCGATACTGATTCTGGGGAGGTACAAACGGAGATAATTCGGTGGCTTACACCCTCCTTGGCATGTTCGTGGATGTGCTCCCTGGCCTTCGTATCATGTATATTACACCGTCACCATGTGATTTATGCTTATATTTAGCTGCAAATCGAGCTGTTTCGAGAGATAAAAATACAACGTTGAATTCAAATTACTACTAATTCAGAACCAACGCGAAACAAAAAATCTAGTGAACTCCTAAAGCCAGAGCTGCATGAATTAGAATCAGTCTTTCTGTCAGTGTTAATCACCTATGCGACGTGTTAGTCGTCCCTGTGTCCCGTAAGCTACTAGTCTGTAGTCTAATAGCTTGGTGGTGGTGGCGGTGGTTGATCGCTCGGTGGAGGTGGTGGAGGAGCAGATCCAGGAGGAGGCGGAGGAGGCGCGCTTCCTGACGGAGGAGGTGGAGGAGGACTTCCACCATATTGCGCTAAGAGAGCGTTAAGTCCAGGAGGAGCGCCTGGTGGTGGTGGAGCACCACCTGAAGAGCCGAGCCCAGGAGGAGCACCCATTGCTTGCTGAGGAGGGTAACCAGAGCCGTGTCCTGGTGCTGCGTAGCCACCGTATCCGCCGTAGCCTGGGCCAGCGGCAGGAGGTGGGGGAGCCGACTGCCAAGGAGCACCACCGCCAGGTGGTGGCGGCGGCGGGGCGCCATAGCCGTTGTCATGGTGGCCACCATAGTAGTCACCGCCACGACGATCTCTATCATCAGAGCGTCCGCCACGATCTCGAGCCCATGGAGCCGCGCCGCCGCTAGTTGCCTGGCCACGCGAGTTGTAGTCATCGCCGCCACGGCCCCGTTGTTGCCATGGGGCGGCAGCACCAGTCGGGCCACGCTGCCATGGCTTCACATCGCCGGCATCAGCAGGGGGTCCTTGATCATAACCACCTGGGCCAGCTTCGATACGTTGGGGTGCTTCGCCATTCGGTGCAGGAGCACCACCGGATAATTCTTGCATGAGTTGCTAAAGTTTGTTAGTTGTTGCTAGGCATATTGGACATTCAAGAATTGACTTACCTCGTATTCACGATCAACTGCATCGCCAGCGCCAATTCGGCCAGCTGCAGGACGGCCAGCAAACCCGCCAGGACCTCCTCCAGGAGCAGGAGGCCCATTGCGCCAATCTGCGCCACGCTGTCTGTCCGGGCAGTCTCTTGCCATGTGACCGGCGTTGCCACAGACTCGGCAGATGATGTTTGCCGTGAAGTTGCGCTGTTCAGGGCAGTCGTACTTCCTGTGGCCGATCTGGCCACAGTTTTGGCAAGCTTGGTTCTCGTCATCACGGAGTGTACCGTTAAGGGCGGCAAGTTCACGCAGTTGGTTGCGCTTAAGCTCGTTTTGGCCTTCCGGAATAGATGCAGCCTAAAAATGTTAGATATTAAACCGGGAAAGAATAGGAGGCAACACTTACAGTTTCAATGACGTTGTGAATCAGCTTCTTGGCCTTGTTAACCTTCTCTTCGGTGTCTGCCATGATTAAACAATGGAGATCCTCCTCCTGATTGCTGGTGTGGGCGGCGTCCGAACGGCCTTTTCCTTCCTTCACGGATCCTTTGCCACGGATGGCGATTTTAGCCTGCGATTCAGTCTCCATCTTTTTCAGCGTGTTTCCACGAGGGCCGATAAGTAAACCAACTTTAGTAGGAAAAAAAGCTAAGTGTTAGTTTATGGTCAAAAGTTTAGAGCAAAACGTGGTTGAGAGGTTAGTGATGGCAAGGCGTCGCACCCTGAGATTAGAATGCAGCACGCAATGCCACACGGGAATGAAAAGGGAGAAGTATGGAGGTTAAGGGTGTTAGAAAGGTTAGAGGGTTAGCAATCATACTGAAATTAATCTCTGGATAATCATTGACTGGCACATAGACCTTTTCCTGTGTCTTAGTTGGGCGGCGATAGTCCTGTGGCGGGTGGTAGTTAGGAATGACCTTCATGGCCTTCTCGATCAGCTTATGGCGCTCGTCCTCCAGCTTCTTTCTGTATCTGTACTCGCGGGTATTAACACGGCGACCGAAGTTGTCGTATTGTGGTGCTGGAGACGGTGATCTTTGTTTCATGTTAGTTATTCGTTCAGATATGCCGTAAATGGGACAAATATACCTGTCGCCGTCGGCTGGCACGACATCGTCGATTCTGAGCTTTTGACTAATTTCTTCAATTCGAAGATGGAGGGTATATGCTTCAAGCTGTTCACTGGTCATATTCGCCATGATCGCGGTCGGAAGTCCCATTAGACCTGCAGCCTTGTTGTCGGTCGCATCGCCCCAGCGGTTTCTCTTCTTGCGGACCGGTTTAGCTCCATCGTTATTTGGCTCTGGGCCTTCAAGCACAGTTAGATTTGGGTTTGTAAAACAGGAGTCAAGTTCAGACTTACGTCTTTCCGGGCTACGGCCACGCCTGTAGCCATCACCATGGCCTGACGAAGGCTGGTTATAGTCTCCGTGATTGCCACCTGACGGACTATTGTCATCTCCAAAACGTCGTTTGGTTCCCAGAGGAATGTTGTTTGAGCCTGTTGTGCCTTGGTTGCGCCACGCCATCTTGTGCTATCGATTTCGTTCGAGGATAGAGACGTAGTGATGAAGTTGGATGAGGTTAGATTATGGCTTCAGGATGGAAGGCGAAGCTTTTTTAGAAAATACCATGAAAGCCGTTAGTTAGCGCTGCTAGCGTCGCCGCGCCAGCATTACATTGGCGATCATCACGTGACGTAGTATTTAAATGCTGGCGCCAGTACCAAACTATACAAAATAAACATTATATACTCGACATGTAAGCTTGAAACCAGAGATGTAATCTTCAGTTCTACAACAAGAAGGTCATAGTCAGTCTAATAGAGACCCCGTTTGCGCATGTGGTAGGGTTTATTAGTTGATTTCTAATCAGTGTTGATAATGCCCAGGGAGGGTAATGACGTCTCTAGAGCTAGAAGAGTTGAGTTAACTTACTGAGCAAGAACGAGAGAACTGTGGCTCAGAACTATAAGAAGAGGCACTCTCCCCGTCAAATTCACGCTAGCCAGACTGATATCTCGTTTTCTCTTCACAAGTCTTTCCCCTCAAGTCTTTCCCCTTCACAAGTCTTTAAAAATGACATCCACTCCGGGTATCCATCTTTATACATCCCAAACTCCCAATGGAGTCAAGATCTCTATAACCCTCGAAGAACTCGGCCTCGCATACAAAGTCACACATGTTGCTTTGGGAAAGATGGAGCAAAAAACCGACTCCTTCCTAGCCATAAACCCCAACGGCCGGATCCCGGCCCTCACCGATAAGTTCACTGATGGCGAGACAATCAACCTGTTTGAATCCGGGAGCATCCAGCAGTATTTAGTTGATGAGTATGATAAAGAGCACAAGATCTCTTATCCTAGAGGGACAAGAGAGTATTATGAGACCAACAACTGGCTATTTTTCTTGAATGCCGGCGTTGGCCCGATGCAGGGACAATCGAACCACTTCACCAATTATGCCTCCGAGACTATCGAATATGGAATAAATAGATACCAGAACGAGACCCGTCGTCTGTATGGGGTATTGGACAAGCACCTAGAGAAGTCGTCGTCGGGATACCTTGTTGGTGACCGATGTACCATTGCTGACATTGCTCACATTGGCTGGATTGTGAGTATTGGATTTTTATTTATCTCAACAAAATAGACAGAGCTAATGATTTGCAGTCGTCTGCTGCCTGGGCGGGGATCGAGATTGATGATTTCCCAACTCTAAAGGCGTGGCGTGACAAGATGCAAGCCAGACCAGCAGTCAAAAAGGGGAGCGATGTACCAGTTCCAAAGCCCAAAATTGCTACCACCCCTGAAGAGAAGAAGAAGCAGGCAGAGGAGACCAGGGACTGGGTTCAGCAGGGTATGAAGGAAGACGCATCGAAGAATAAGATTTAAGTAGGATTCTTTGTTAAAAGGGGACACCACGAATTTGAATTCCTAGTTCTATGCTGCTTGAGAGTTTTCATAGCCACTGTGCGGAAGTAGTCTTGTCAAAGTTCTGGATTATCTGTATACAAGTATAACTACCACCATTCCATCATTTCTATGCACAAGTCCTACGAACACTTTTGGGCAGCATGGGTAAAGAACTTGGTTGTCCAGTATTGGGAATTCTATTGTACATCTGGTGCAGTTGCCAACCTGAATAACAAATGACAAACTATCTGCCTTGCCATGGCCTAGAAATCAGTAGTGGTACAAAATCGCGCGAAGAATGGAGCTGGGTAGTATCTGGAAAATCTAATTCTCTCGGCGGCAGTGATATAGCAATTTGCAAATAGTACTCTTACAAAAACCTTGCTATTGCATTGTAGCGAAACACAAATAAGCACGCCCATATTCCTCCTGTAGAACAACTAGAGTTACCGACTGAAACAGCCGAAACGGGAACGATCAGTGCCTAGGGATTCATAGTCGTCTTCATTTCTTTTCTCCGTTTTGGTTTCTGGAGGCTTCACCGCTTCGCTCTTCAGGCTTTCGGCTTTTGATTACCTTCGCTACCTCCTTCAAGCTCACAAGGGTTGTTGAACTCGAAGCTGAAACCAGAGTTGACAGCAAGTAAGCGTGGCGGAACCTGAGATAGTTTCATGTTGGCAGGCAGGCCGCTGGTGCTAGGACGACCTGAGCCACGATATGAATTGCGACCCTCGTGGTCAGCTTCATAGCCTTCCGTAGGGGAGTTGCAACCTCGCTTTTGGTCCTTGAAGCGGATGCGTCGCATTCTATCCCGTCTCATCGCTGGAGGAGGAAAGATAGCACTGGTCGAAAGAGGGAGACCCCGGGCTGTTGGCTTTTTGACTGGAGACCTTTGAACCGGAGACATATTATTCTTCGGATAGACCGGTGGTGCAGAAAGTGAAAATTGAAAGGATTGGTCAATATCGCCGTACGGATCATTGTGATCGCTAGCACTGAAGGTAGTACTATCATCACCGAAGATTGACTTTTTGCGCCCATACTGGTTAAGCTGAGGGCTGTGGAGGACTTGTACTTCAGCAGCAACACATAATACTGGTCCAGGGGATTCACTCCTATCATCATCTGCCCAAGACCGTAAAGATGGTGCAATGGAGAATGCCATTGAAGATGCGGAAAGGTTTCTACCGTGAGATTGTCCTGCGGGAGGCTCTGGAAGAGGCCTTACGTCCAGCTGGAGATTCTCCTGGCTCATCCACTTTTCTTTGTTAGAGGTGGAGAATATCGATATGGGAATCTGATATTTTTTCTTGGGCTTGTTGGCATCTGGCTGCATGGCCTGCTTGGACTGGACCTGTGAAAGAGCAGTGTCTTTGGCAACCATCTGACCAAAAATTGTGTTCTCAATCTTTTTATTTGGCAATGAAGCACCCGGAGTCCGTGAGCGGTTGCGGCGCTCTGGTCCATTGTTAGCTGTGGCTTTGTTAAACCTACAGATAACTCCAGATCTCGTTAGGGTGGGGTTAGCTCCAGACAGGTTGGGTGTGCTAAGGCTGTTCTTTATAGAGAATGCTGGTAGTAATTCGCGGTTGCACATCTCAGGAACGAGTTGTAAGGCTTCGAGAGAGTCCCAGCTGCGGTAGTGAAAGCGGAACGTCACAAAGGGGTCGTCTTTTGGGTCCTCCAAGAGCCAGTCGAAATACTTGTACCTGCTCTTTTCAAGAAGCCCAGAGGACTTGAACCTGAATTAATGTCAGTACTCATATTTAAAACGAACTTGCTTCATCAAACTTACTCAATTCCGTACTTATCCTGACCTCTGAATGCATCGAGGATTGCACCACGACGCCTTTTCCCACAAGCTCTGAAGACCCTGACTTCAATGACGCCACCATTCTCAGCTGCTGAGACGTCTCGCTTCTGGTCATTGAAATAAAATGGTTTAGTTTCTGCTGGATTAGGTATCAATGCTTTCGACTTCAGCTTCTTGTCAGCTTCGAAAAGGCCTAGCATAGCCCGTCCCACCGGCATGGTTCTGGGATCTATTCCCCATGAGGTGACGTGTCGACCGTTCATGAACAGCTTAAGGAAAACGTTTATGCCATCTCTATGTGGTGGGTCTATGGAATACTGCACAACGAATCGGGTTCCTTGTGAGGTTGTCAGGTACGCACGCTTAAAATGTAAACGACGTTATGCTTACCAGGCAAGGATGGAATGTAGACAGAAGCATAGGGGTTGGATGAGTCGGGAGCATCGTTTCCTGGTTTCTCTTTGCTAGGCAATGACGATGTCGCCTTGGTATTGTTACCTGATAGAGCAGATGATCCGCTGTTTTGGAACTGGGAGGTTTCTGGATGAGGGAATTCTGGATATACTTTCGAATCCAAAGCCGACGTTATGGACAACGTTATACCACGGCAGGATGGCATATTGACAGCGGTGTCTTTGCTACAAAACTGTCCACGTGAGTGGCCACCAAGGAACGTGTTGTCGTGAGGAGAAATCCAAGGTTGTGTTCAGAGGTGAATTCACAACAAGCGCTTCTGCTCCCTCCATGGTAACTGGCAACAAGAAATACGGGGCAAGTATTCAACATTTCACAACGCTAGCCGGGCAATCATAACCTGGCTTACAATTGTATTGAACTTAATGAAACCACACTTCCTTTGACTTATACGTATATGTTTACGCATGTCTACTGCTGCAATGTGGCTAGCAAGATCCCAAGGGGCTAGGAATGCCAATTCAATAACTTTGAATCACTCCTGGCTGAAAGATACCCTCTAAGATCAAAGACATTCGCACCGGGGAGTACTGCCGGATGCTGTATGCTGTAGCCAGTGAAATACTCGGCCAACATCTCTTGTCCATAGTTGATTGTCTTGGGATGGCCATTAAGCTCTCTACTCAGAGGGCCTTTCAAAGAACAGCGTTCACAACAGAGGTAAAGAAAGTCAAAACAAAGCTTTTCAACTTATATAGGTTCAGATAGTTGACAAACAACCTAGCTCATAACCGGCCTTATGTACAATTCGCTCCCAACTCTCCACAACTGCTGTATTATTTTCTTCCTGGTGCCGTCGTATCATCGTCCTTATCTAACAATCCCAAGTTCCTTACTTCCCCAGCCTTTGCCGCGTCCTCCCGGGGGTTTGCTGCTTGCTGCTTGCGGTATGCCGTCTGTATCGCACCGACGCGGTGTGCCTATTAGGTTGGGGTTAGCTCCTGTTAATAACTGACGATTCAGCCTGTCCGAGTGCCGCTGAATTTGGCCGTACCTCTTTCTTGTGGTGTAGACACTCATAGTAATCCTCAAGGACGGGCTGGCACTTCCTCTTGCCAGAGGTATCATCCGAGTTTGTGTTGACGACGTAGCAAGCTAGAACTTCTTGCCAGAATGGGAAGCATCGGGATGAACCTATTTATTGATTTAGTAAGTGTTGGCGCAGGGTCGCCAGGGACCGCAAATAATGCCCATGGCAAGGCATTGTGGGTTCAATTGACATACCTCCGTTAAGTCCATATCCTGACGACATCTTGGGTGGTCAATTGCCAATTCTTTGGTATCTTCACTCTCGTTACTCTGGTTGTTCGTGATCCCTCGTCGTTGCCGTAGCGGAACAATCCCTGCATGGGTGCCTTGCTGCCTGAAACCTTATACTGCTTGGACCAGCTACGTATCTGTAAACTTTGGGGTATGTGAGAGCTCTCATCAATATTATATAATATTTCGGATGCCTTCTCTGAGCAATCTGCCAAATATCTACATGGTTGAAAATGAGCATGGCGACTTTGGATCTCCCCCCAGCGAAAGTTATTCTGCTCGCCGTTCAAGCGGCCATCAGAGCAGATATCAGGACACTTCACGCCTTACTAGCTACCCACCCAAAGACGCTACATGACTTGATTTTACGAATCCTCCTCACCTATCTCCCCGAGAGTCTTGACAGCTCAGAATATGTCCAGCTCCTTATCGAATACGATTCCGGCCATGTATCGGGAAACGAAACTATCATCGATACAACGCCCCTCGAGGGCCTCAGCAATGCAGCTGCCAGCAAGAAGGTCCGGAAGCTTAGACTCCTGTCTTTGCGAATGGACCAGACTCACGACGATGCGCCCGAAGACCCGTTAATTCTATTCCTTCTGCACCGAGCTTATAGGATTGATCAGCAAACTGGACTGATTGCTCAGTTGCCACAACTCCTGGCTCCATTTCTTGAGCGGTCCGATTACCTCAGGGACTGGGTGCTTGCAACTGTCCTCCCGCTCTTACGGCGCAACTACGAATACCACCCCGCAGAAACCGAGACACAGTCAATAGAATGGTTCGAAAGTTTAGGCACAGTCGAGGCCGTGGACTTTCTATTCTCGAAAACCATGCGTACCGACAATGGGAACGAGCCGAAGGACAGCACATTAGCTCGTGATCTTCGCTGCCTGGCTGGACCGTGGCTTTATGGCAATAACCAGTGGAAGCGTCGGAAGGTGTCGTTATCGGCAATGGGGGCGCAAACGGTTGTGCCCTTGAAAGGCGCCGTGCCTTCGCAAGGCTCACAATATCATGATTGGGATGCGGTATTTGCTTGGATCATAAACCAGAATCCTGCTTCGTATATCGCAGTTTCAGATGCCATCGAGCAATGGGGAGGAGCGGCTGATGTAGATCTTGGTAGCTATGGGGATCCGGACGTCATGCTTTCCCAGGAAGACCGCCGTCAAATTAACGAACGCTATGGAAGCTGTGCCCTCACTGCTTCGTTTCGTATGCCTGGAGACTCCACGCCGGCATTGTCAGAGGCTCACCGCATTTTACGTAACGTCGTCACTCGTTTGAAGCTGCCGTCGATAAGTTCACTGGAAACAGCCGCTGGTCGGCTAACCCCTGTTCCAGACCTCTCAGATGATGGGAAGCCAGTAAGGGAGCATATCGAAGAGCTGCTCTCCTTCCTAAAGAATGATGAGCAGGAGTTCTCGGCTCCGACGCAGGCAGCCGTTGACCTGCTTCAAGCCCTTATCACAAGCTCGTACTTGCTCCTCAAAGCTGGGGCTCACACGTCTATTGAGAAGACTGGATCTATGCTTCACAATCAACCCGAGTCATACCAGCATATAGTCTTAAAAGAATATCTGAATAAACTAGGAGGATCCGCAGGCGCCGATGACAAGCTCTGGGTGAATGCAAGGAAAGAGGTATTGTGGCTGCATGATTGGGGCAAACCCCCATCTTCGGAAGGTGCAACTACCCAAAGAGGCCGTGGTGTTTTGGGTCAAATACGCCGAGGTGCGGTGGAAAGAGAGATACTGACTACTCTTTTGACTCATGGTCGTAAGCGAATCCTGTTTGTTGTACTGTATGCATATTTGGCTAAACCTTCGTGACCAGGCTATGCTACTGCACGATCTCTGTATGAAAAGTCTCCAGAATCTCCCCTTTCCAAGGAAGAATTATCCTCAACAGTTCTTGCATCAGCAATGCACGCCTTCAACAACGCCAACAACCCAAACAAGACCCGCGGCGGCGTCAAGAAATGTCTTGATATGTAAGTTGTGACATTTTTCAGTTGCTCACACAAATGCTGATTCTCGACAGATTAAATGCATTCCCAGATACCTTCCGCTCCTCCCTCCCCCGCGAACGCATCATCCACCTCTCCGACGCCGCCAACCACTTCGCAAACTACCGCCTCGTTCTCAACTCAGGCGAACCCTACCGACCCTCCGTCATCCACACCCACGGCGACCCCATCGCCCTCGTCGAAAAGGTCCTCGCCCAAAACACCCGCACCTACACCGACATCGACAACTTCCTCTCCTTCGGCGAGAAGATCGTCCTCGCCGGCCTCACAGTCCGCGATCTCGAAGGCCGCTCCAAGATGTCCCCAGAGCAGATCGACGAACAGATGGCTATCTCTAGGTGGCGCATAACAAGCATGTGCATCGACGCCGCGCTCTCCGAGAACGACTTCGAGACTGCCTACTCCTACGTCGTCAATCGCCTCCCCTCCATCGGCGGAGACGCCTACGCCAAGCCCCCCCCACCGTCCTCCCCCGCCCCCCTCCCCAAAGCCAGCGCAGTTGCCCACCCCCCCTTAAAAGTCCTCGACAACTGGTCCTGGAAAGCGGCATTCCAAACCGGTAAATACCGACTCAACGCCTACACCCTCAAGCCCAGCCACGTCGGCAACTCCAGCGCCAACCCCGAAATCCGGCATCTAGAGCAACGCATGGAATGTCTCTCCCAAGCCCTGCTCATCGCTCCTCCCCCCGCCTTACAGGAAATCCTTAACGTCTTCCGACGATGCGAGGAGGAGCTAGATGCCAAGATTAGACAGGACGCGGAGCAAGAAGACGCTTGGGATGATCAGGGCGATGATAAGTCGATGCCTGGCCGCTTTGGTGTCGAGCCTCCACCAGTCACGCTCTCGAGGGCGAGCGCGCCAATGAGTAGTGCCAAGTCCCGCACGGGGGCGGAGGCGCCGATGTCCCTCCTTGATCTTACCCGCGCGAGTGCCGCGCAGGCGCAGCGCTCAATTGCGGCGTTGACGAGTGTAAAGGGTGGCGGTGGTGGGGGTGCTGGTGGTGGGGTGAGGGAGAAGGGGGGGTGGACTGGGGGCGGGAATGCGAGTATGGAGGAGGCGGAGGATGGGGTTAAGCAGTCTACGGTGCGGAAGAGGGATCAGCTTAGGAGCGCGGCGATGAGTACGATGATTGGGGGAATTGGGTGGGTTATTGGGGCGCAGACGCCTGTGGATAAGGATGATGAAGATGAGGGGAGGGGAGGATGAGATGGATGTAGATATGAATTGGGGGAGGGAGGTAGATGTGATTGCTGGTAGATTAGCGGGCGTTGGGGACAATTCTTAATGAATGGAATGGGCAAGTGTTATGAGGCTTTGGTTATGTTGCATTGTGGTTTTTGTACTGTATTATACTGTATGATAGATATGATACGGTATTTGATATTTGAAGCCTCAGCTTTTCTCAAGTCCTTTTAGAAACTTTTCGTGTCCGTTATTTGTTATATATAACCCGGTGATTCCTGTATCCCTCCTCTTCCTGTGATAGACGGACTGAGTACTCAATTCACAGCACGCCTGTGCTCCCATCACTTTTCCACAATACAACGCTCCATCCAAGAAGTCGTTGCCATCACCAAGCAGGCAGGCTCTACCAAAGCCCAAGCACCGCCCAGCACACCTCCCATCCAAACAGACAATACACCACAAACCCACCCCATCATTCGGAGCGTTGTCACAGATGCACTCATCTCTAATCCAAAAGTGTATAGAACGAAGGACATACACCTATATAGACAAGATACCCCCAACATACATTACTCCCCCCATCCATCCACTGTCCACATACATATTGCGCCTTGCTCCCCCCCGGCCATCTCCCCTAAAACGCCCACTAGTCCCCCCGCCTTTCCATAGTCATTAAATAACTCACCCCCCCACCATCGTCGTCTGCCCGCTCATCCGTTCAGCACCGTTTAGAGATGGGAGGTAGCAGCACGGCGGTGGTACGGCTGTGAGGTTTGTTGATCATCGCATATCTTCAGGGCACCGTTCTGTGTGCCCCATTTCCCCTAACACACAATGATTGTTTCCTTTTTATTACTCCTATCCCACGACCTAAGGGCCAGGGGTCATTGATAGTGATGCGGCCCCATCCCATTCGCCCTATGCCTTTCATCCCGCTCCTTCTCGCGCTGGAGTTTAATCTTGATCGCCTCCGTGCCGTCGTCGGGGGTGGCGACTTCTTTGAACCAGGGGTGTTGGAGGGCTTGCTTGGCGGTGATGCGGTCGTTGGGGTCGTAGACGAAGATGCGGTTTAGGAGGTCGAGGAAGTGTGTACAGAAGTCGTTGTTGCGGGGGATGATGTCCTGGGGGGTGGTGTTAGTTGTAGGTCAATGGAGAGGAGGTAGGGAATTGAGGGGGGGATGGGTGTTTACCTCTAGCTTTTTCATGGCTTTGACAAATCGTTTTGATGCTCGGGTTGTTTCTGCGGTTGGGTAGTCGAGTTTCAGGCGCTTGAAATATCTAGGCTTTGTTAGTTATGCTCGGAACTGTATAAAGATGGAATAACGTACTTTGCAACAGCAGTCCCATTCCCCCCACTACTCCGCTGGCTCATCTTGTTAACCTGCTGGATGAGATATGGATCCATCTTAGCATCAACCACACTCTCCATCATAGCCAAGTGCTCCAAATTATCATGCGTCTGGAACAGCGCATCACCCGTGAAGAACTCAACAAGTATGCACCCGATACTCCAGATATCACAAGGATACGACCAGCCCAGCCCTAGGATAATCTCCGGCGCGCGGTAATGCCGCGTGGAGACGACCGAGGAGTGGTACTCGTCCTGGAAAGTAGCGGACCCGAAGTCGATGAGTCGGATTTCGGTGTCTAGTAATACTTTCCGTTGTCCCGCTTGACGGTTGATTTGCGTCGAGGAGGAGGGGATCTTGCGGTTGTATGTGAAGGTCTGATATGCATTCTCACAGAGGAGGATATTTTCGGGTTTTAGATCCGTGTGTATCAGATTTAGGTCGTGAAGAACTTTTTGATGTTAGTATATGTGCGAAGATTTTGGATGAATGGATAGTACTCACAGGCAACACTTGTAAATAACTGACGAGCAAAGCTCTGGATCTGACTGTTCGGAAACGGCGTAAAGCTGTTTCCCTTCAGGAAATCGAATACCGACTGTCCCATCAGGTCCATGACAATACAGATATGTCCGCGGTAGTCAAAACAGTCACGGAAATGTATACACCTGTTCCGGTTCTCGGTGTCGTTGGCTTTTAGAGTCGACAATACTCGCAGCTCTATCCGGGAAGCGTCTCGATATTTCTGGACGGATCGAATAATCTTAATGGCAACTAAAGAGCCGCCTCTCCTGCGGTCCCGGGCCTGAACGACTTTGCCAAATGTGCCTTGGCCGAGGAGTTTCTGTACTTCGTCTTCAAAATGTCAGCCTAATTCAGAATAAACAGTTAAAATGATACTCACATCTCTCCGTGAGATCCGTATCGGGAACCACGATATAATGTCCATCCTCGTCATCCACTTTGCTGTTCTTGGTATGCGAGTTCTATAACGGGTCAGTATGTTGACAATTCCGGGAAAGCAGGCCACCTACATCTTGCATAACCTTGACATTGACCTCGGGGGCCTTTATCGGCGGCCTCGGCGGAGGCCTATAATTTGTGAAAGCATCGCCATTAATTTCAATCTCTCTCCTCTTCGCCTCGTTGGCCAGCTGTTGTCGGGTCGCGACCCTCTTCCTCTTCTGGCCCGGCTGTGTTGTGTCGTCGACCAGGTACCCTCTCGAGCCATTATTCGAATATTGCGACCCCAGCGACGTCGCGGCCGTAGTGTGTATCGCTGACGTCGTGCGATCGGTAGATATGGTCGAACTCGCATTCGAGCCCTTGTAGTGCGGGCTTCGCGTCTGTGAAGGCCCAGCCTTGATATGGTATATCGGATCGTACATGTCGTCACGTTTCCGTTTTTTGGCAGCGTGCCTCAGAGCCGCTCCATTGGCGCCGGCATTATCGTCAGTTCGGGGCCCGCTGGCCACGGCCTCGACCGATGCGGAGGCGCGAGGAGGGGGGGAGTCATCGATCACGATGATTTCCTTGGGCAGGCCATTCTTGTAGAAATTTCTCCAGTCGGGCTCGCGAGACCGCCGCCGCTTCTTGGGGGTCTGGAGTGTGGTGGCGGTCTGCACCTGTGGCATGATCGGACTCTGATCGTCTTCCTCGTGTAAATGAGCCCTGTTGGTGTCTTCTACGTGATGCAGAGAGGCCACGTCCAGACTGGGCGCGGTGAGATTGCCAGATGATGCAGGGAACTTGTATGGTGGACCCCGACGGCTGGTGGCCTTCACCAGGTTGCTGTTGGCTCGAAAGGACGCGGAATTTGGCTGGTAATTCTGATGGTGAGAGTAGCCGAAATGGAGATCGGGGTGAGGTAGAACAGCAGTCGTCGCTGAGGGCGTCGACATTGCAGTGTCGTGGGCACTGGCTCTCGCTGATAGCGAGTGAAACCGAGTGTTGGTGCCGTGCGGAGAAGGGAGAGCCAGATATTGCAGGGCTCGAGTTGAGATTCAGCAGGTAGCCTCGAGGCTGCGGCGTCAAGAGTGCAGCATTTGATAGCCAAGAAGAAGCGTAGCCAAAGATAAGTTATGTGAAGCCCTTTGGGGTAGAATGAAGGATTGAGGTTTGTTTCGTGGTGGTCTTACCCTAGGCGGCCGACCGGGCGACCGAGGGAGGGCGTTGGCGAGATGGCGAGGGCAAATCGATTTGTTCAGAACAGACTCGGGTCATCGATTTTTGAGAGGGGTGGGGTAGCAAAGTACTCTTCAGGTTTTTTACTCTTTAAAACGAGCACAAAGATTCAAAACGAAGTCGCAATTAATGGGCAAAGGCTATTCCAACAGTTTACAGGAGAGTGAGGAGAGGAGGAGAAAGGGGAGGAGGCGAGGTTATCGTGTACGGTTTTTTGATATTGGGGATTGTTGTTGTCCAGCTGGCACCTGGGGTTTTCTGATTGAGTATACGGAGTACGTAGTTACACTGTAATTACACTGTAATGTAGTGAGCCTGTGATGTATTGCACTATAAGTAACTTAGTCCACTACCTACCACCTACTAAGTTACTGTAACTTAGCTTAGTGTAGTGCGGTTTAGTGTACTTCTCGCTATGGAGTGCGTTAGATTGTTAGATTACAACAACATCTACTATACTCGGTAGTACATACTTTCCAAGTTGTACGGTAAGTACCCTCGCCACACAAATGTCCAAATGTCACCTTCGCCTCCAGTACTTAGCCAGCCAGGCCACAGCCAGCCAGGCCACAGCCAGCCAGGCCACAGCCTTCCGTCCATCTCGTAACTTAGTATCCCATCGCCCGTAGCCGTAGCGGGGTAGCAGTCACGTCAACTGAGCCTGCGAAACAGCGTTAACTTAGCCCGTACGCAAAACCACAAGTGATGGCATAACAGCGGCGGTGTATACATCATTCAACTGTACCGAGTACATCCCAGCCAAGAAGTCCTGGGTTGGGTGGCTTACTACTCGCCACCACCACCCCGGCGGGGCCAGATCGCATCGCGGCATCTTGATGCGAACAAATCGATATCGGAGTCGCCTCAAGTTTCCAAAAAACCGATTTGTTCGCTCGTTGCCGTGTCTGTTCAGAGATCGCTGGGCCAGCAGACCGATACATGGACCGGAGTTGTGGCGAATTTGGACCCTTATGTTGGGAATTGGTTCTATCACGTTGCCACGTGATGGGGGGAGGAGGCACATGATCTGGGTGGTTCCACTTCGGCCCCTTCTCACTTGTGAAGTGTGATCTATATTCTCTAGATGTCGATGTGATCTTAGTTTTCTTCCATGTTCTTTCCAAGGCATGATCTATTTCTCCCAGATCTAAAATGTGATCTCGCTCCACCCCCGAGCAGACTCCCAATGCATGATCTACAATCTTCCCCCTCTCCTATCCCACCCCTAACGGCCAGCCCACCTAGGAGCAAACACCCCCCTAAATCCCCCGATTAAACACCACCATCCCCCCCGCCCCCCCTTCCCATGAAACTCCTCCTCCAAACTCCCATCTCTCACCATCTCCCTCTGCGGAAACGCCCCCAACGCAAACGGCAACGCCGCCAAACTCGTCGTCAAAATCAGCCCCAAATTCACCGGCAACACCAACCTCGGGCTGTTTTTCAACCAGTTCATCTTCTGCAACCTCACCAGCGCTAGGGCGGGTATAACCATCACGGGTGAGCTGTTCAGGACGCGCGATAAGGCCGTCTCGCTCACTGCGATAGTTGCTGCTTTCCTGCTTTTTCCGAGAGAGGGGATGTCGGACTCGGATTTTCCGGCGGCTTTGTCCTCAGCGGAGAGGGCGGGGTAGACGTCAATGCCCATCCTGATTTCCTCGCCGCGCATGAGGAATACGTTTAGTGCTCCCGCACTCGCGACGGCGGCGAAGGGGACGAGGCGGCCTAGGACCATTTTGGTACCTGGAGAAACGCGTTTTAGGCGCGGCACGAGAGCGTTCAGACCCAGGGCGACGGAGCAGGAGGCGCCGACGGCGAGGAGGTAGGATTGGACTATCTTGGAGGTGGAGAGGGGGGTGGATTTGTTGGCATTGGCGTTGTTGATGGCGACGTTGAGGGATTGGTTGGTTATTTGCCAGAGGAGTGTGCCGGCTGTCTAGAAAAGGGGGATTAGGGATGGTTGGAATGGAAGGGGGAGGGGGGACGTACACCGAGGCCGGGGGTTAGCATGCCGGCTGTGACGACTAGGTTGGAGAGAACGAAGGAGGACATGCGGAAGGGTAGCATTACTGCTTCACCCGTATCTGCTGCATGTCAGTATTTCCGTATTCCTCTGGCGTCGTAGAAAGCCCCGACAAAAGCAACGCACCAGGATGTATAGTCGCATCAACCACTTTCTTCGCATGCCACAGCTCCGGGGACATCTTCGCAATCTTGCCCAACTTATAATTCGCAATCAACTCCTTCGAGTCTTCCAATCCCTTTTTCGATATCAACAACATCCTAAACAACGTCTCGTTAGCCAATGTTTCTCTCCTCGTAGTCTCCTGGCTCCAAAGCCCCCATCCCTGGCCAGGGGTTTATTGTCCATGAAAAACCACGTACAATCCGTCCCCCCACCCTTTTCCCCCTCTTGTTTTTTTTCTCACCTGGGATCTGAAATCTCGGCGGCGTGCTTCACGCGGCCCCAGTAGGTGGCGAGATCATATTGCGAGGCGGGGAGTGCCCTGTTCCCCGGGAGCGCTGCCGACATCTTGAATCGTTTCTTTCGATAAAATCTTTATAAAAGGCCTGGGTATATATTAGTTTCTCTTGTATATCAGAAGAATAGCTATCTCACCTCTTGTGATTCGCCGTCCCTGCACCGCTAGTCGCGCACACCGCTAAACGCCCCTTCTTTCGCGATTCCGGTCAATCGAGTCTCCCAAGTATACGATCCTGACAGCACAACTTTCAGTGCCTTTGTTTCAGGGAATTATACGGGTCAATTGTGTGCGATTACACAAATTGGTGACTCTGAAGCTTTCGGTTTTCGAAATATTTGCCAGATTGGACCCTGGACCGATCCGATAACGCAGATTGCGCTTATCTACGGCAGGGGTCGGAGGTGCATATGGATCACGTGATATGGGTTGTTTATATAGAGGGGGAAAACTTCACTTTGTTAACCAGCCGAGGTGATCAATTGTTTGTTATAATTTGTGTGTGGAAGCCTTATAAGAGTTAATTTGTGTCTATGTACATCTCCTGGTATCATTATACCGTATACAGTTCGCCTTATAGCGCTGCAGTTTGCCCTTTGACTCCCCCACCCCGGTCTATCGAATATAGACAGTTCCTTGCGCGGCTCCGTATTCAAAGCAAAATATATACATCAAGGTAGAGCCATATCTACCGAATTACAAGATCGGTACAATGGGCCCGCAAGTCCAAAAATATTGCAGAACATCCAGTGTCAGACAGTACCTTCGGAGCTGGAGGTTCTGTTAAGCCCCAGAGATAAAATCCCCAAGATACCCCAGTTCATCAAGAAGCTCATCAAGCGCTGTAGCAGTCCTCGTATCCGGTGATGACGGGGAATTACTCTGGAACACCGGCGACCCAAACGAAGACCTCGCACCGCCTTGCTCAAGTGTAATAGTAGCCAAGCTATCCGAGCGATTATGTTTATCCATCCCATCATCAGCCGGTCCAAGCGGAAGACTATACCCATAGAAACTCCCCGCCTGCGCATCCCTTTCCGCCCCTAAAACGACGACAGGAGGTTTCGGCGTCGAAAAGCCAAAATCGAACCCATCATCCGTAACCACATATTCGTCAGTCGAATCATAAGCCGAGGGACTCGAACTATCAAACTGGCTCCCGGCGAGCGAGGCGAAGCTTGTGGTGATGCTGTCGATGGAGAAGTGGGATTTGGGATTCATTCTCTCGTTGAAGGAGAGGGGTTGCGGGAGGACGTGGAGAGGCGAGGGAACCATTGAGGAGGAGGCGTCTTCGGGGAGCTGTGGGAGGGATTTTGATTCTGTGGGGGCGAGGGTGAGGTGTTTTGGAGGCGGCGGGGAGAGGGAGGTGATGGAGGACTTTTCGTCGTCGATGGGTTGGTGGGAGGTGCTGGCGAAGTTGTCGTTGTCTTCGAATTCCTCTTCGAAGCTGTCGTGGGGGATGGATATGAAGAGAGACGAAAGTGAGTTCTTATCCGAGTGGATAGGGAGGTTTGGTGAGGCTGCATCTCTCGGTGCTGGATTCCGGGTGGGTGGTGATGATGTCTCTCCGGGGCCTGTCTTCCCAGACAAGGCAGTGGCTCGTTTGTCTGAGCTGCTCACTAACGTTGGATAGCTGATGTGAGCATCGCCCTCGTAACTCCGTGAGGGTGAGAGCCGGCGATCATTATTCGGCGCGGCAGAAATAGGAGATTTAAGGCCGAAGAGAACTCGGGCAGACCAGGGTGATCGAGGGACAGGAGACGTCGACCTTGCACCTCTGTTCCTAGCAACCACACCAGGAGAAGTGTTTAATCGTGGAAGCGACTTCGGTGTTGGAGGTGGCGCTCGCGGGGTCAGATGCTTGTCTGCGGGGTTCATGGTTTTGATATCCGTCCCTGTTGCGCCTACTGATGCGCTCCGTTCTCTCAATGGACTCTCTTCAACTGGAACCCATAGAAAGTTGACAGGCTGACCAGGCAGATACTGACATGCGGTGGTAAATGGGCGAGTGGGATCATGAATCTCAATACCATCATCTATTTCGTACTGTTGGTCAAGTCAGCAAAGTTGATAACACAAAGGCCTGATTATCCATGGGGCTCTTACATAGTAATAGTATGTATGCCCCATCTTCAGCCCGCCACTACGTTTTGCAGAGTTCGCAAAGTCGCCGTCGCAGATAATGTCTTTGAATGAATAGCAGCCTCTCCATTCCCTATGTCCACGCCTGGCATCCTTCTCCATCGGATACCGTTTGGAAAAGTTGTCCCACGATCCAATGAGTTGCACCGATCGTGCATGGGAAGATGTCTGGCTATAAGCATATTAGCTGATATCCGCAGAAGATTATTGTGTAACCATGACTCAAAAAGCAAATAACAAGTGGAGAAATGCCCTGCATGTCAAGGTGATACAGGTTCCAGAACACGTCTCATAACTCGTGCTTGGTGAATCGTCATGAGGGTTCAGGAAGTCCCACTTTCATGCAACTACCCATGAACGACGCCGATCGATGGGTGGGAATAAACCACAGGTGTTGGTTGCAAAAAGCTCATAATGGGCAACAACTTACAGCATGAAAGCCATGAGAGTCGTGGTTGGATCCATTGTGGGCGAAGTGAAAGGACGGTGGTAAAAAAGGGCCAGCCCCAAACTCTAATTATCTTCGATGCGATCAAACACTGGGTTCTTCGCAAGGCCTAGGGACTCGTAGATATTTATTCATCAATGGTGCGCCATCGTGTTCGAAAGCCGAATAAGTTCCAAACCCATCCAATCTACTTGGATATATTCTTCAGTCTCTATCTGAGATGTTCGGTCACCGTGGAGTATGAACACGACCTGCTTACCAGCAGCCGCGAGGTCGTCTTTTGAGACGATGCAGTTGTGTGATTTAGAGATATCCTTGTATGGGAACTTTTTGGGTTGGTGCCGGATGGGTTGCTGTAACCCCGACTCACTCGGCATGAAATGTATGGCGGGTAGCGGGGGTGATTGACGATACCTGATGCACGGCGCTTAGATTGATTGTTTTAAGAGTTTTAAGAGGGACTTGACAAGGAATATATTCGAGGAGAATATATGTGGGCTGGGGGGGGAGGGAGAGTAGGGGAATGTTGGGTTTAATACGGAGTAGTGTGTGTCGCATTGTTCATTCAGTAGGCGCCGGGAAGGTGGGCACAGTTATAACATTTGGGCTAACCAAACCTATGGCGTTTTACTTCAGCTCAACCAGGAAGAATGTCCCAACGGTGAATTTTTGGTGACGATGGTGGTGGACCTGTAATATTCCAATCTATTGGGGGAGGGATGGGAGGCTTCCAATGGGACTTGGACGATGGAGAGCGTGAGCGAAACTAGAGAGTAGCTAGTTCCTGCAAGCGTCGTGGTGGTGGTTAGTTGATTGGCACGATATTAGCTGAATTTGAAATGAGACGGGAAATAATGATTGGCGCTTGGCGACAACGCATGCAAAAAGCAGGATCCAGTAGGAGCTAAACACAAAACTGACCTGATTAAACAAGAATGATTGAACAAGAACATCATCGAGGGGAAATACAAGACCCTGTACTGCCAAGTCCCATCTTTCATCTCCCTCTCTATCTTATCTCTCTATCGTAGATCAAGGTAAGGCTGAGAACATCTAGACAATGAGAGCTCTATAATTCACGACTTCAAGTAGAGTAAGTAGCATGTCAGCATCTTTCATCACGCTTCAGCCGCAGCTGCAGGTCCGGCTCAGGGGGGCTTCATGTAGACTCCAACAATGTGCTTTGTATTTCCTATGAAGAAGTGGAGGAATATTCCTGCAATGTATTCCAAACAATCATGTTCTGAAGAAGCATCGTAATTAAAATTAGTAAGGGCTCTTAAACCAACCTGCAACTAGAACCTTCCTGTCCTGCAGTCAAGATCATCCATATTCATACAGCGTCCAGTAGAGTGGTGCCCATATGGCGCCAAACCTCCAGCAATCCAAGGCCGCATCCCAACCATCCCGTGCGCCATGCCTAAAAGAAAATTGATACATCAATAGGCTACAAAAGAATATAGTGTAAGTATTATTATTCTCGCTTCGGCGGTACCTTGTCGGCGTTGACAAGCACTTCGGCGGCCTTCGCAGACCTCTCGTAACGAGACTTAACGTCTCCTCCGTGCCAGACTGTGCCTAGTATTCGATCCCAGAACGTAAAGAATGGCTGGCTGAAGTTTGTCTTGATACCCCAGCTCTGGTGGTGGATGTCGTGGTATCCAGCGTTGTTGCTTGTGATGTGCTGGAGAGGGTCCCAGGGTAGGGCATATCCACAGTGGTCATCGACGGTTTTGAGTGTTGACCCAACAAAGAAGCACATCCCTTGTCGCGGGGTCATAAATGAAAGTTTGTAGGCGATACTGGCGCCTAGAGTATCCAGCAGGAAACCCTCGAATGGGTGGTTGTAGAGTGCACCATATGCATAGGGGACATACAGGCGGTGGTGACGAGCATGGAATGTAGCTATGAGATGTCAGCAAATGAGGCTCCATTTGAAGGGCAAAAGGAATAAGGCGTACTGTAAAGCCACTTGTTCATGTGCATGGCGCGGTGCAAAAAGTACTGCCATGTATCCACAATGGCAATGGCAATGAAGAACTGCACTGCTGGGACAAGTGCCCAGTAGATTGTCTTCGAAGCCAGGATCTCCCATCTCGCAAACGCCGGTACCGGAGCACCACTGACAACGTCGATGCCAGTGGTCAGCCAAGGGTAGTTTCCGCCTGATATTGCGCCTGCGAGCAGCGGGTAGGAGCTGGCAACATTCTTTGATATGGCCGCTGCATTAAGTCCGAGGGCTCCCAACAGCTGTGGCAGCGCCCTTTGGGCAATTCGTATACGCCTCGCCCACATGGCAATATCGTATTCCTCCTTTCCTGCCATCTCCTCGGGCTCCGTCAGGCCCAGTATCGCCCCAACGGCTGTTTGTATGGTCTGCTGAATAATAACGTCTCGGGCAACTTCGTACCGGGATACACGGTTGCGCTTCAACATCTCCACCGGCGTATGGAGCCTATACTGAGGCCATATGTCCATCGCATCGATGTAGTGGAAGAATATCGAAAGGACCCAGTAAGCTGCGAATGGCGCCAGGAGGGAGAGGTAGAAGTCAGAAATGTATGGAATAAGCGGCTCGACGGGGGAGAGAGTGTATGACGGCAGCGGCGGAAGGTCGGACAAGTAGGAATTGTTGGACTTGGTCGACATGGACGACATGTTTGCCATGGCGCTCGTCATTGTCAGGCAGTTATCGTGGTTCACACGACGGGCGACAAGTCGGTCAAACGTAGGAGGTTGTGTTGCTGACAGTCTGGAGGATGTTGCCTCTCTCCTTCTCAACCGTTTATGGCGCCAACGTCGAATAATCTCGGTTAGATCTGCGCATCCGGAAGTGCCGCGTTGGCTCGATGGGCACCGATGGACATAAGTCTCCTTACGTCTGCAGTGATATTCACACGTGTTTCTACTGCTAAAGAAAGTAGAAAGTGACAATCGTCGCTCTGTTCTCTGGGTAGAGTAACGGAGTTTATGTCTCCCTTGAAGTATGAGTTTGCCCCCAAATGTCCCACTTAAAAGTTATAAATCATGTGACTTAACTAACGAACGGGATTGAATATTGTGTGTGGCTGGTAGGTCGGTACTCGAGTACATGTGGTACATGTACCGTACCGTATACATGTATGTATCAATGTATCACCACCACGCCACCCGTGGCTGAACTCTCTCTTACCGCCGAAAGCTGACAGAATTTTTAGCCTTAAATGTACTAACTTGTTTTGTTCTAGTTTCAATCGACCCCACCAACACTGAGGATTCAAGGCCACCACGAGTTTTCTTCTCCCCCTCCATTGTTGGTTTCATAATCTGGACTTCTCAATTCTTCCGTCTTTCTTATCGCAACCTTTCGACTTTAAGACGTCACCGCCAAAATGATTATTTTCAAGGTTCGTAGGCTTCCATGAGACAAAATAGCCAGGCGAGGGGCAAAGTTTGACCGCGGTTTCATTATCTACCGAACTGGTTGCAAGTCAGACCCGCTAATGCCTCTCCTATAGGATATTATCTCGGGCGACGAGATGATCTCGGATAGTTTTGAGCCCAAGGAGGTTGATGGCGTTGTTTACGAGGTCGACTGTGCGATGATCACCGAGGGTGCCGTCGAAGTCAGTATGTACAACCTAAACGTTCGATGCATGAATTACGGCTCTCCAACTGACACAATAAACAGACACCGGTGCCAACGCTTCTGCCGAGGAGGCCGAAGAGGGTCTTGAGGATGGAGCTGTCCAAGTCAACAATGTTGTCAACTCCTTCCGTCTTCAGTCCACCCAGTTTGACAAGAAGACCTACCTTAGCCATCTTAAGGGTATGCTCTTTGCATTTCAGGTCCTGTGATATGTGCTGGTTACTGACAGTGTTAGGTTACATGAAGACCGTCAAGGCGAAGCTAAAGGAGAAGAACGCGCCTGAGGAAGAAATCACTGCTTTCGAGAAGGGCGCCGCAACATATGCCAAGAAGATCGTCGGAAACTTCAAGGACTACGATTTCTACGTCGGCGAGTCCATGGACCCTGATGGAATGTAAGCCATATATATATTCCATGCCAAGGGATTGAAGAGATTGCTGACTTATATCGTAGGGTTGCCCTCATGAACTACCGCGAGGATGGTGTCACCCCCTACATCACTGTCTGGAAGCACGGCCTTGTCGGCGAGAAGGTCTAGATCGTATATTTAATGAATGGTTATTGTGCATCACAGCCCAACAAGTTGGAGATGATGCGCCATATGGTAGCCTGATATTCTCCAATACAATGAAAATGCCCCCTCTTTATGATTTTGGTATTAAACGTATATGCCTACACCGAGCGAGGTTAATTATGTCTCAATCCCAAATGCAAACATTATACCTCATGAATATATCAAACACATCGATCTTACGATTTATATGGTATTGGTGTAAGCACATTTTTCGGATTCCAAGTTGCACCAAAACCATGCCCTTCATGTGTTTAACGGCTACGAGTTCTTTCAGCCTTGCGAAAAATGTACTGACTAATCAACCAGCCTTACCTCGAAATATTGTCCCAACTTACTGAAGGTCCAAATTAAGGACAGTCAAAACCGAGCAACACGACGCCAATGAAAGAGCTGTGAAGTGAGATGGGCATTCATGAGTCGGTTTTTTTCTGTGTCACAGCCATTACTAGGAAATCTGCGGAATGAAGTCCGGCCTTCACAGCGGACAATCTCGATACCAACGGCGCATCCAGGCTACAAGAAAGCTCTACAGATAACCACATCGCACAAGAAGAGAGTTTGGAGCTCAACACCCGTCCGACAAATAGATTTCAGGAGCCCTCAGAGAGATATTTCTTCCCATCAGCTTATCAAGGGTCCAAACATTGTGAAGGCCAAAACCAGTCACTGGCTTGTCCTTGATGCCCCCCTAAAGAAGATTTCATCAGATCTCACAAAGAGGCCGCAGCATCCGAACCAATTTCCAGTATCCAGCCGACTAAACAAGTCCGAAATCATGTGCAGCTACGTGCAGGTTATCACGACTCCCACGGCGGACACTCCTGGTACGACACTACTCTTGCATTTTGATAATAAGCGTTATATCATTGGGAATGTCAGCGAGGGGACGCAGAGGGCGTGCATACAGCAGAAGATCGGCCTGGCAAAATTGGAGGATATATTACTCACAGGGAAAACAAGTTGGCAAAACAATGGAGGACTTCTCGGAATGATTCTAACTGTAGCTGATGTCCTGATCACCAGGGCTACTGCTCTGAAGGAGAATCCTGGCAAAGGAAAGAAGCGCAGAGCAGGAGATACAGACGATGAAGGACCAAAGAGAGTAAAACTTTATGCAGCCGAGAATTTGAATCATTTGTTGGCGACCGCTCGACGATTTATCTTCAGAAAAGGAATGCCGCTGGATATTATTGAGTCACAAGACTTTGCTTCCGCTGCTGACGTCTCCGCACCTTCCTGGTCCGATAACAACATACAAGTCTGGGCTATGGATATAGTATCAGATCAGTCACTCTCTCACCATACGAGGAAGAGGAGCCACGAAGAGATCTCTCAGGATCACGCCTCTGAATATAGCAAGGAGGATGTTGTGTCATTTGACGGCAAGCTGGAAGAAACAGCAGAGCAGAGGGAAGATCGCTATAATCAAATACGAAAGGGGGTCGTTGGCCACATGTTTGACTCAACCTGGAAACTGGATGCGCTGGTATCTCGGAAACTCTCGGAGGTAAAAATGCCTGCCGCTATATTTGTAAGAAACGAAGCAGGAAAGATCGAAGAATACAAGGGGCCATTACCGAGTAGCGATCAGTTTGTGCCAGACATTGATGTTTTGGTTCGGAATCCTTGGCCAGGAGCTCGTATCGAAAGTTTGCCTCCAACAAGTCGGTCAACAATCTCTCGATCTTACATCATCAAAAACTATCCCCAGCGTGGGAAGTTCGATCCTGCAGCCGCGAAAGAACTAGGAGTCAAACCCGGTAGCTCCTTTCGCGATTTGACAATGGGAAAAAGTGTCGTGACAGAATCTGGCACGACGGTAACACCAGATATGGTCATGTCGCCAGAAAGAGTGGGGGGTGCGTTTGCGGTCGTTGAGCTGCCATCCGCAGATTATATTGAAGGGTTACTCAACCGAAAGGAGTGGTCTTCAGAGAAAGTTATGGGAGGCGTCAAGGCTATTTACTGGATCCTCGGCGAAGATGTCCATGCAGATGAGAGGCTGGCCACTTTTAGAGCCAAATATAGCCACGTGAAGCATATAATATCCTCAGTGGACTGCTGTCCTGATAATATTGCTTTCCAGTCGGCAACTGTAGCACAGCTAAAGCTGCATATCGTCGATTCTGAGCGATTTCCCATTCCGGCATATAACAATAGTCTTCCCAGCGACGCATCGAAGTCCGTTGATTGGATCAAAGCACACGTCAAAGATGTTCTACAACTTGAATCACCACGCGAAGCCAAAGAAGCTAAAGTTCTGCCGAAGCCTTTTGATGCAGCTAAAGTCCTAGTGGAGCTCCAAAGCTCAACGAATCCAGGGGCACCCGATTGGCTAGATAAGGAAGTCCTCGAACTTTCCCAGGCCGCGCGGAAGAGAATAATTGATCCAGAGTATTTGGCCAAGCTCGCCAAAGTTCAAGAGGATATACCATGCAAAGACGCAGAGCTTATAACCCTTGGAACCGGATCTTCTGTGCCGTCTAAATATCGAAATGTCTCTGCGACACTATTACGCGTTCCTGGAGTAGGGAACTACTTGTTTGATTGTGGAGAAAACACATTGGGTCAGCTGAAGCGTGTGTTTGGCGACGAAATGCCCCAGATTCTCAGAGATTTGAAGGTTATCTGGATCAGTCATCTCCATGCTGACCACCACCTTGGCACAGTGTCAGTACTGCGGGCATGGCATGAAGAAACTAGCCGACACGAGGAAACAAAGTCCAACGGTATTATTGTTTCATCTGAAGACGGTATGCTTGGATGGCTGTCAGAGTATTCTCATGTTGAAGACTTCGGCTATTCGCGTGTCAAGTCCCTGAGGTTGAGTCATGAAAATACTTGGACCAACAACTTCAACAGCGAAGAGGTCAACGCTTACGGTTTAAGCTCCATTGTGGCTTGCCAAGTGACGCATTGCCACCAGGCTCTCGCAGTTGTTTTGAAGTTCCCTAATGGCTTCTCAGTGGCATATTCGGGGGATTGCAGACCCTCGGCTGAATTCGCACGGATCGGAAAAGGTGCCACTGTTCTCATCCATGAGGCTACGTTCGACAACGAACTCGAGGGCGACGCAGTGGCGAAAAAGCATTCCACGACAGCGGATGCACTATGGGTTGCAAAGAAGATGGAGGCGAGAAGGATCCTCTTAACACATTTCAGTCAAAGGTACCAGAAGATTCCAGTAATGGACAATTCAAGTGACCAAATCGCTATTGTGGCCTTTGACTACATGAGGTGCAAAGTTGGAGACTTTGCAAAGGTAGCAGAGTTCAGACCAGCTTTGCTAAAGCTTTACGAGAATGAAGCGGGAGATGAATAAATCGCCGCTTCTGGTGTTTGTGGCTTACTATATATCAACTCAAGAACGAGCTTAGAGTGGAGGACTTTGGGACATCAGTTATAGACGGAATACTCATCACAACTCAGCATCTACTTCAAAATAAATACCCACCATTTGGAACTATCATTCTAGAAAAAAATATGTGATGTTTAATCTTGCTAGGCTTCGAAAATCAATCTACTTTCCATTTAACCTATTCTGGCTGGTCAGGTGAACCGCTGCATTAAATTCTTCCCAAGTCATTTTCGGGCTCGAAAGGGTACTGGATATAACAGATCCTGCGGGCTTACCTTCTAGTTTTTGATATGTTTTGGCACGGTGACAAGCTATTGCATCAGGTCCACGGACACTGCTGGAGCCACTCCATCTCTTTGCTGTCTTGGGTGACTTCGCTGTCTCGGGTGACTTCGCTCTGTCGGGTGACTTCGCTGTCTCGGGTGACCTGTAGTCCGTGTTAGTAAGTGGATAGGTTTTCTTGTCGTCAACCTTGGAGCTCTCAGGAGCACCTACCAGTTTGCGATATGCTTCCGAACGCTGTTCGGCATAGTCGTCGTGGCGCCATTCTGTCTTTTTGGATGTATTGTTCGAATAGCCCACGCCAGAATCAGCACGGCTATAGCTGCTGCTGGCCATAGGGGGCTGCCGCTTTGGTTCCGGTATTATGCTGGGTATCCTCGGAACTGGGGGAATGTCGTCCTCCTGGCGTTGGCCGTATATTCCAGTCGAGGCGTCAAAAACAATGTTGTCACGAAAGGCTGGGTGGAGGCTGTGAGTGCTATCGTTGTTCGGCTGCCCAGATTTCTTGTGAGTGCGGGACATTCGTGATAGTCGGTTGAGGTAGAAATCGATGATGTCTGCATCGGTCGATTCAGGTATTCGCTCATCTCTCCTGTCATCTCTTTTATCGTCTGTCCTGTCATCTGTCCTGTCGTTGATAGTTTCTGGTAGTGCGTTCGAGTCGTAACTTTGAGTTATCGGCCTTCCACGGCGTGCGTTCCTAACCTTCAAATATAACGGATCGGATTCGGCTTTGATAGTCTCAGCAATTCCTGTCCAATACAGCCAGCCATCGATGAATCTGATAATGCGAGGGATCGGTCCGTGGTTTGTCCTGCGAGTGATGGCACAGATACGTAGATCAGCGAGCATCGTCATGTTTCCCCCTATTGTGCCAAGAATACAAGCCTCGCACTCGCTGTGGGTATACTCAAACTCCGGATCGCCTGGATTTGCGTTGAAAAGGTAGCGATATAAGATTGGTTGAGTCCAAAGCGAGTTGATCGTCTTAACTCGAGTCCACCACGCCCTTATATCTCTGTCTGCTGGAGGAGAATCCGTGAAACGGCGAACTCGGGTTGAGCACTCGTCGACTATGGTAAGAAATAATCGGCGGATGAGCTGTGAATCGAGGCATCTGTGGCTTGGGCAGAGAATTGCTTTCGTACTGGGGCTGGTAAACTTCTCGACCAAGCGTGGTAAAAGAGCTTTTGTCCTTTTCAAGTGTGCTGGTAAGTACCCAATCTTCTTCTCTTGCCCTACAAGCCAGTATTCGTCAATTTGTGACCGCTCTGGCAACCTGAGAAGCTTTGTGAGGGTCAGGATATCGTTATGGGACAAGTCCTCAACCCAGTGGAGTGAATATGGAGGCATGTTTAATCCCTGGCGGCAGCTGCGGAATTTTCTTCAATAATTTTTTGTCGGTTGACTTGATATCCTCCAGGGATATTGTAGGTTTTGCTGTTATGCTGCGATGCTGAAGCACAAGATTTCTGGAGATACTAATGGTCATGACAGCGGATTGCAGCCTATATATGTTCAGCGGGAGAATGGCATACTGTTTGAAGTTGAAGCATTCTATCTAAGAGATCCTTTGAACGATTCAGAATTATTATCTTCTAGAAGTTTGAAGATATGGCCACTGTCTAAGCAGCCGGGTCTGTGCAGGCATCACTGTTTTTTATCCTCACGATGTAGCAAAGAGAATGAGACGTGCCTTTAACAATGGCCTTGTCAAACATAAGGTATGTTCTGTGTGAAACAAAGTCATGGTATTCGAAACGCCTTTGTTGTTAATGCATCTATTGTTATTGTATAAACCTGAGAATGAATAGTGACTGCATTTGAAATGCCTTTGATCATATGTTTCGTATATGGCAGGAAGCCATACGGCTGAGCGTATTTAAGGAGGCATCATTACACCTCACTCAACCTTTTTTTAGCTAGACACCCCGAAGACATCACTTTCGCATGCCAGTAACTATCTAAGACCAATTCAAGGCACAGCGTCCACATACCACACTCTCGACAACATCATCACAAACAGACAGCCAAAATGGAGAACGTCGGCGAGCAAGTTCAATGCTTCGTATTCATCACCTTCTTCCACAACTGCGGCCACACCTCAACCCGCAAGCATTGCAGGGATAAACAGAAAATCTGGGCTGAAGGCACTCACAAACATCCGCATGCCGCCTGCAATGACGCCTGCGATTATATGTTGCCATACTACTCCTACATGTGGGACCTAGCATGCACGTGGTGTCGACAGCATCCAAATATCCCCAGGACTTCCGAGGAAAGGTCGGACATGCCCGCTGATGGACAGCTAGACCTCCCTATCCCTATGATGGAGCTACTACAGCGTCGTCACGCCTTTATGACCATGATGCGAGTGCAGCGAGAGGGCCAAACCAGGCTTACTCCATATGAGGTGAACCACACCGATGCCCCCTTGGACATTTTAATGGAAATGCTAATCAGACACGACAGTAATACTGCCAACGAGCGATTACGGGCCGATATAAACGGTGTTCCGATATCTGACAGGACTTTTGAGGTAGGTGCTCTACATGAGCATTCTGAGCTCTTCACTTACGTCAATGCCAGGACATACCCCGATATCCATGAGGACAACTGCAGCATTTGCCTTGCGAGTATAAACAATAATTCGATTCGCTCCCTTCCTTGCGGGCACATATATCACCTAATTTGCATATATGAGTGGCTGGCGCGAAGCAACCCGAAAACTTGCCCGGCCTGTAGGCAGACGTACAATATTATTATGAGCTCTATCACAGCAAACCTGGACGAGGCCGATGCGGATATTGACGCTACCGCAATACTCCCCGGAATGTGAGCAGCCACCGTATATTATCCCAGGCTCGTAGTAACTAGGTAAGTATGTGACAAAATATATCCTACGGCTTTGTTAACGTTCTTTTAGCATCAATAATATCACTATTTTATCCCATCTTCTCCGTGGTTAATATGAACCTCTGTGACCCACGTGCATTTGGCAAGTTCGCAGAGCGTGAAAGGGCCGCCGTTACCAATAAAACGGATATAAGTATTCCAAAGGCCAGGTCAAAGGGTTTATTGATACATAAAAGCTAATAATTGAACGCTTAAAACTCGCATTGTTTCAGGGCCATGTTGCTTCCAACGGGCCTACCCAGTTAACACCAGCGGCCCTGAAGATTCTCACTTCACCTTCCACCAACTCATCCACGTCATAACTTCCCTCTTTAACAATTTTCACGCCGCCCATATTCTGCTCAAGAGTCTTCAAAACGCCGTTGTTTTCCACTCTTGTAATCACAGCAGTATGATCTGGTGCCCCTGCGCTCTTCCAACTCCTTCCATTTTTCGCTTCGAGACGCGCTTTCCAGAATTGAAGGATATCGCCCCTGGCAACCCCAGCCGCTAGGACCCCGCCAGGAGGATCAGGGTGCTTACGTCCAATCTTTTCATAGAGCAGAGCACCATGCACGTACCCCTGACTTGCCATACAGGGTTCTTCACCACGATCAGTGAAAGCAGACGCAACGGCAATGAGGCCATTATTTGCCAGCGTCCAGCACTCGCCATTGCCGACTTGGGTTCCCATTTGCAGTTCACACCAGTGAGCAAGTTTTTCAGAGTACCTTTATCAGTTAGCCAGGGAGTCCCGGAAGTCTGGCTTCGTTTTGACTTACTGTTGTTGGTAGCTGTCTAGCTGCGATTTGGATGGAAGAATCGGCGGTGGGAAGTGCTTCTGTTCTGATTTGACCGTCAATCCCGGGTTGCTGGCGTCCCAAGTTATGTGGATCTTCGTATAAGCCAGCGTATTGTATATTACCAGGCCATTGAAAGTGCATGTTTTCCTCACACCGTTAGAGCTCCAGCCAGAGGAATATCTGTAACCCCGAGATCCAGGAACTTGCTCTATGGAAGCGGGTGGAAATACGATAGGCTGGTTGGCGAACCATTGTTTCTCGAGATCTAGATCAAAATCTTCAATTTTGGGGGTCGCTTTTGGTACAACCTATTATAAATATTAGCTTCTATGGCAAAACGGGGGTGTTGTAACTTGAAAAAGAGAACAATAGGGCCACGTCGATTAAATATTACCATCCTTATTGGAAAGTGAATTACTGATATAATTTTGGGAATATTAAACAATATTTAATAGCCTAATTCTTTATACTAATCCATATATTTACTTACTGAAGGCTTTGGTTTGCTTGCAAGTGGTATTGGAGGAGGCCCTCCGGAGCTGTCGACAGGCGCACCTAGTCCAGGCTTCTTCTTCGGAGGTGGCGGAGGCGCCTTCTTAGCTGGAGGCACGGTTTTATCTTCCATTAATATTGGGCCGTCGTCATACTCTGGCTCGACTTGCTTGCTTGGACCATCGTGTGATGCGACTTTGTCGGCAAGACCGTATTTCGAGTTCAATGCATTCGCAGACTTCAGGCCAGAGGCTACCTGCGTGCCATGCCGTTCTCTAAAATTATTGAATGTTGACGCAGCATTTCGGGCATCTGAGAAAGATACTGATGATGGGTTATCCCTTAACGAGGATGCTGTCTTTAAAGCGGACTGTTTTTCGGCCCAGGTTGTCCCCTGAGCGGCTGGCTCTTTGGGGGAGGAATTCCGCATCTGGGAAAAACGAGACTGCAGCGCGTTCACCTGAGTATCATGCGAAGGTGATTTGTCTGTCAGAGTCGACTTTCTAGAAGGTATAGGAGGCGGTGGTTTGGCCGCTGGTTTGGTAGTCTTTGGTCCGATGTCGAACCCTGGGACACTCACACCTGCAGCGCCGAGCCTGCTGAGAGAACCTTGATTTAATATTCCCCTATGTGCCGGTGGTTCCGACGTAGCTTCATGGTAAGCTGGTGGGGGCGGCGGTGTATGATAGCTTGGATTTTCATTTTGCCTGGGAGGTAACCGTGGCGGGAGGGATGGTTTTGCTTTCGGCGCCGTAGCCCCTCCATCTGCTCTCCTTACTGGAGGCGGGGGGAGGTGAGAAGTGGACAACCCTGTCGTATCCCTACGATACGGCTCTGGGGCCTTCGGCTCTTCCGATTCTTGTTCAATTTGTTGACCATATGCTGCAGAGGGCCCATTTTGGGATCCAATTGGGGTTGTTGTGGTTGACTGCTGGGAGTAACTGTTCTTCTTTGGTGGCGGCCCAAACGAGTTGGGATCTTTCAATGAGCTAAGTGGCCGTGCTACATATTCGGATGTATTGGACTGAGTCGTCTGGCCTTTGACCCTTCCCATCAAACCTGACTATAGAAGTTAGGATCTAAATCTTAATGACTGGAAATTGCGACTCAGATACTAACGATTTGATCACGATCCTTGAAAACCCCCCCTCGCCAACCTTCTTTAGGCTTTCCATCTGCACCTTTCGACTGCAAGCCCTTCTTCACAGTATCTCTGATGTTGTAGCCCGATATCGACATCTCAACAATAGCTGATTTGTAGGTTGGGAGGCTAAGATCAACCTTGGGAGGTACTCGCGGATAATTTATGACGACGACGGTCGAGTGGAAATATAGCGGGGTGGTCGCTGCTGCCCCACCCCAGCGTTAATCCGTTTGCCAGCATTCATTTTGGAAATACTGTGGCTTTCCAAATAAAATAGAGTTCGATTATAATTACGATAGTACCGTAACACATATACTACCAGGAAATTAATTTTATATTTCACAATCCCACGGCCCTGTGTGGACATGTACTAAAGTACTACCCTGAGGACCCCTGGTGCACATATGCCTCAGGCAGACATCCTTATCGATAGTTGACATCGCGACTGTCGGTCGCGTACACAAATCAACGACGTGATACTGTAGCTCAGATTGAACAGCGAGCCTTTGTTCAGATATGGATTTATCACTTCAAGCTTGTTAATCTCTTTAGCTTCCAGAATGTCTACCAATTCTAAAATGGCGCTCCTGACGGAGCATTTGCGCCACACGCCAGTGGTGGGTTGAATCTTAAATTTTACCCCTCCAAGCGCTGTCTAACAAATCTCGATAGAGTCTACTCGACGATATTATAGATAGCATCAATAAATTAGCATGGAAGGCCGTAGATGCCGTCGAGCAAGGTCTCTCCGCCGCACCCCCAGAAGCCCTAGGCCTCAACATCGATCCGTCAGATCCAAAGTCGGTAGAGCTAGAGGCGCAAGTGAAACTTGATATTGAGGCCGGCGCACACAAATTGGAGACCTTACTTGGCACCACTATCGACAAGAACTTCGATAAGATGGAAGTGTTTGCTTTACGGTCAATTGTTGCCATTCCAGACGATTTAGAAGACTGGATAAGGCTGCCGCATTACGAGGTATGTGAATATGTAGGCAGAGTGAGAGTGAATGCTAATGGGTTTAACAGGGCTTGAACTTTAAACTCCCAGCTGACGCGCCGACTATCGAGACAATCCGCCTTCAACGAGCCAAAGTACAAGAAGCCCAAAGACTCAATCGGCTGCTAACTGCAGAGTCTTCAAAGAACACAGCCACCATCAACTGCTTGCGATCACTGCGTGGGCTTCCTCCAAAGTCTGCCCCTGAAATCTCGAAGGCGGCAGGATCATCTGAGCCAAGCACAAATGATACAACATATCCGGTGTTTGCGCATTTAGAAAACAAAGCCGACCTCACAGATGGCACAGGAGATACGCCGCTCAGCACCAATGCTGCCTTCGTCCTTTCTCAGCTACCGGCGCTCAAATCCCTGTTGGCGGAGCTGAAGCCACAAGAAAGGCTCCTAGAGGAAAGAAAGAAGGCGGACCCGAATATTGCGGAAGGGCAAGGGGAAAAGAGCTGGCGGAAGCAGCGTGTAGAGTATATTGAGACGCAGACGAGGAGACACTTGGAAAAGGTTGTTGGATTGGAACTAGGGAAGAATGGCGAGGTGGGAGATGGAGAATGGCAAGCCGAAGGGAGGAAACTTGCAAAAGGGGAGGTGCACGACTTAGAGAAGATGGTGGAGATGATAGGAGGGGGAAGCTCGGAAGGGAAAGACAAGAAAATGACAGACGTTTAAGAAACTTTCTGCTGGCGTTGGACATTCACTTGATAAAGAGTACAAGATATTTGGCGTTTGAGATGTGTAAAAACATCGCTGAGGTATGGTATCATGAATTATGTTCTCTCATATCTAATACATATTGTACATATACTACACCTAAACCGACAACTCTTCCATGAGCCCCATCTCAGCTGCACTATTCCAAAACTGATGCTGACCATCGACGCCGCGAGCATCAGGTTCTGGCGGTCCACCACGTTGAACCCTCGTATTTTTGACCAACTCCTTGGCTAGGCCAACCTCGTTGTTCCGAACCAGTGAGTGGATCAGCATGTCAAGCGCTTGGTACCCTGCCATAAACCCTTCCTTTTGTGTCTGCCGAAGGTACTGCAGGGCACGGACGGTATCGCCAACATAGCAGTACCCTTCGATAACCCGGTCCCAGAAGATGTGGTCCCTCATTGCATTCCCCTTTATCATTTGGTCTAGGAGCAGGCCAATCAAATCTAGTTTGGGCTCGCTCTGCTTGAAATAAAAGTCAACAAGCATGGTATGAATGTGCGCAGACGGCTGCAAGCCTTTCTTCGACATATGTGCCATAACAAAATTGACAGGAGCCACAAATTCGAAGTCGGAAGCACGCCTGAGTACGCTGTTGATGATTGCAGCATATGTCTGCTGATTTGGCTTTACTGCCGATGCGTCCATTTGAGCAAAGAGGTTATTTATAATTTCAATAAGCTCTTGAGGAGACTGGTTTTTGGCGTCTGAAAGAGCGTTCTCAAGGATGATTGTAAAGGTAGCTACATCGCCTTGCACTCCCTGGGTCTGCATTTGCCCCAGCAAATTTGTTATAGCTCGGTCGTCCTTATTCCGTACCAGCGATCGTAGCATGGTATTGTAGGTAATGTTGTCGGGCGTGATCCCCATTTCTCCACCTGTTGCAAGGACTTGGCTGGCAATATCAGTTCTGTTCTTCCTTAACAACCCCGCAATCGTAGCGTTGATGATAGCTATTGTCGGTTTGACGACTCCATTGACATCGCCAAGGCTTTTGATATCGATAGACTGCCCTGCTTGAGCAACATGCCGCTTCGCCGCCTTTTCCCAAACTTTGCGCATTTCGACGAATGCACGGAGGCCACCCTCAAGATCTCCACAGTACATAAGCCCACTTATTAGGGTAGTCCAGCATTCTACATCGGGAGCTGTATCCGAGTCGATCAATTTAGACCAAATCGCCAAGAGCGACTGTGAGTCTCTCGAGGTTTTGCATCCTTCAAGCATTGCATGCCATGTCAGAACTGTAGGACGCAAACCGGATTGGATCATAAAATTCCACACATCAACAGCCCTCTCTTTGTAAAGCGCCATGAAGGTAGAAATGAACTGGTTACATAATTCTGCAGATGGTGCTGATGACTTCAGCGCAGTTGTTAAGATGTTATGCCCTTTATTCCCATTATTTTCCACTGGCCACGATTGAACCTCTGACCACAGCTTCTCAGCAGTATCAAGGTCTCTTGCAGCCAACGCACGATGTAGAAGTCGAAACACGCGGGTTTCTTTATTTGTGACGAGTCGTCGAAACGTCTTATCTGTGCCGCCCCTGGGTATTTCCATAGAAGGGGCAGGGGTATTGGCAATGCTTCTGGCTTGCTCGATGATAGATGGCCACCTATCGTTGAGATCCACACTGTGGGATACGTTTTGCGTTCGAACATATTGGTCCAATTCACCCGCCGTGATTTGTGCCATTGCTATCACTTCTGCAATTGCTTTGATAAAAGGATGATTTGCCGCAGATCGGATGGGGTGGCTCAGCCGACTGTCAGTTAACATAGCACATGTGATAATAGCACTCGCGGGCAAGCCATGGAAGAGCTTATTACGAGATTTTGGTAGTAATAAAGCAAAACACTGCTCTATTCCCCTCTCTAGCATAGCTCTTCTAACTCTTGCAGGATTAAGTGCTGGAGGACTCCACTTGGCTCTGGGTTCGATATCAATAAATGCCTTGCTGGAGTTATGGCCAAGGGAAAGTATTATCCGCCAGGTTTCGAGGAGGTCTTCGGCGATTCTATCCCCATCAACATGGAGCTTTTCGGCGGATTCTTTGGTAAAGAATGTTTCCAACATCGGCTTCCACACTTTAGGTTCAAGTATGCCTAGAGATGCGTAGGTTTTGGCGATCTCGCTCACGCCTGGTATCCCCGATGCAACGTCAGATTGTTGTCGAGCTGTCAGAAGCTTGCGAAGAAGGGATTTGGCGGCAAAGTGTAATGAATATGGAGTTTGAGACCCCTTCGGACGAGCCTTGGGGCAAATCTGTGTGAACAAAGCCCACATAGCTGGGATTGGCGTACTTGGATTGTTGAGCATTTCCATCAACTTCTCAACTTGTTCGTATAGTTCCAAACTGGCGGTGTTGGGTCTGAGTGTTGCTGTGGCCCCGTTTCCAGATGTTCTATTCAACCCATCCACGAAAAGCTCCTCTAATAAATCTCCATGCGCCTTAGCTCGAGACGCCTCGACATTTGGCACATTGTTAGACCACCTCGGCCTGTTGCTGGTGTTTGAGTCTTCATTTTTGTGAGGAGGACGTTCCGAAGGCGTGGGTTTCGGAACCTGGGGCGCACTGAGAGAAATAAAAGTTGCTCGAGAGATCCATTGGGTTGACGGATATTTCTGGAATGCCTTTGCGGATATTTTTCGGCGGCATGTTGTGCAAATATGGCTTCCGTTCATCTCATCCGGCGAATGGACAATGTGCTTCTGGATGTCGCTCAGAGGATGACGCCGTGCAGATGATCTTCAAACTTTTGTACAGCGCTCAGTACTCGAGTACCTCGAAATAGCCAAGGTACGTCTGGGAACGGGGTTTTCCGTCGTAAGGCTACCACCAGCATGCCTCGAAATGCCGAACGTAAGTGGGTCTTAGCCTCAACCCGCCGGTAACCGTCGTGGCTCGAGGTTTAGGAGATGTGCAATTGTAACCAACAACACCTTCCAAACTAGAAATACGGGATGAAGATATGACAACTCTACGCCCCAGAGCACCTTACTCGGACGAGGAGCTTGCAAAGCTCTACCCAAGCTCTCTAAAGCTTCAACAGGTCCAGGTCCTATTACGCCATGGCGAACGAAGCCCAGTATCAGCTCGCTTCCAAAACGCTGGCCTTGCGCCTTTCTGGCCGTATTGCTCGGTAGCGCAACAGTTGCTGAATGCAACATTGAATAGCAAAAGCTCCCAATGGGGAACCTTGGAATGGAAACGACGCCTCGAAACATTTGGGCCTAAGGACAACCCCGTCATAGCTTCGGGGCCAGAGGGGGAAGTTGATGCCATTTGCAACCTGGGAGAGCTGACCGACACTGGGAGGAGAACAACTCTTGCTCTTGGAAAGCGCCTGCGACACCTGTATGTAGACCAATTGAATTTCATGCCCTCCACGATAAGCAATGGAGACATGATATATCTCCGCGCTACTCCGATACCTCGTGCCTTGGAATCTATGCAAGAAGCGTTCTGGGGTTTATACCCATCAGACACACGCTCCGCATCGTTTCCTCCTCCAACAATCATAACGAGAAATCCGTCAGATGAGACCCTTTTTCCGAACGATGGGAACTGCAGACGATTTGCCATGCTCTCGCGAGCCTTCGCGCAACGCACAGCCGATCGTTGGAACGATACAACCGAAATGGCATACCTGACGAAAAAGATTGGAAAGTGGATGCCGGATCCAAGCAAAGGTGTAGCAGTGGATTCACGCCCGAGGCTCTCTGGAATCATGGACACCATAAACTCAACCCTTGCCCATGGCCCGGAGACGCGTTTACCGAACGAGTTCTACGACGACAAGGGAAGAGAAATTATAGAGAAAATAGGGGTAGAAGAATGGTTCAGTGGATACAAGGAGTCCCAGGAGTATCGTGCTCTTGGAATCGGAGGGCTAATGGGTGACATCTGTCAGCGAATGGTTGGTCATGTTGAGAGGAACGGCAACAGTGATGGGGCAAGTAATGGCCCAATTACCAAAGCAACAGATGGTGAACAGGATATTAAACTCGGCTTGAGCGGTTGCCACGATACTACTCTTGCAGCTATTCTTACGAGCTTGGGTGCGTTTGATGGCGAGAAATGGCCTCCTTATACAAGCCACGTTGCCCTCGAGCTATTCAAGCGAGAAGATCAGCCAGTTCGCCAAGTATCCTCAAAGGATCAACTTGCGCCAAACACTGTGCAGTCAGTCTTGCCAAAATCTGAAAAACAAAGCTGGTTTGGGTGGTTTTCGAAGGGAGCCGCGAACCAGAACATTGCACCGACCGGAATCTCCAGGAAGAGGATCGAAGAGCTTAATGATACCGAGAAAGAGAAGTTGGATGGCTACTACGTCCGAATCAGGTATAATGATAAGCCTATGTATATTCCCGGCTGCGCACTACTTGGGAACCACTTGGACGGAGATGAGAGCTTCTGCACTTTGGTGAGTTCTAACCAGCTTATATAGAGAGACTTGCTAACCAGTAAACAAGGCAACATTCAAGGCCATTGTCGACAAGTTCACCCCAAAGGATTGGAAACAAGATTGCAGGAGCAACCTCGACGCCCCTTCGTTTCCAAAGGCAACAGAGGCTGCTGGCTTTTAGAGTGCATATATAATATCTATATAGAGTATATACATATGGAGGCTGCTTCATTTTAAACTAGAATCAAGGACAACTGTAGCTCTATCTAGAAAAGCCCTCATAAATGGCATTGTACAACATTCTACTGTCATTGTGCCTGTGTCCTGCACTTTTACCGGGCAACCCCTTAGCACTCTAGGACACAATAAATAGTTATCGTATTGCTTGACCATGAGCTTGTTAGAGCATTACATGATTTGGGGTGGGGTTCAAATGCTTGGTCTCAAAGCCTCGATCCTCCAGGTGATGATGGCTGACGATCTGATTTCTTATTTCCTTCAACAACCACACCTAGTCCAGTTCCAGCATCAACTGTAGCACCATTTGTGGAGGTTGTCATAAATGATTCGTCTCCCGAAAAACGCCTAAAACCTCGTTAGAACTACAGTGCAGAGAGGTAGGGTTTAAACTTACCACCCGCGCTCCTCGCCGCCACTTAAGAATGAGCAGTCTCCATTTAATTCGCATGTCCATCCGCCTGAAACGCCATTTCCGTTTCTCCAAGAAACTTTCGGTATTTTTGCACCTGGGCCTTCCCATAAATCGACTTCTCCGCTCGCTGATTCCCCTGCCTTCCTCACAAACTTGCTCAACCCGCAAGTAAATGGTTTGAAATCTTGCTCCGCAATATCCTCGGGCATTCTGCCTGTCAGCGCTCGCCCAATTGCTAAAATCGTCGCCGCATGGCTGCAGATTAGAATTGCTTTGACTCCATCTTTGTCACTCTGTTCAATAATTTTGTGGAGAGCATAGGCTGTCCGGTCATGCAGCTCGTCAATTGTCTCTCCGTTCACACTAGGAACAATGGATGACTTGTGTTGAAGATCATACAGAGAAAATAGGCCGTTTAATACATCTGGTGTGGCTGGCGAAGGGTGATCGAATCTTGCTGTACCATACCACTCCCCCACCCCTGTATCCCCGCGAACGGTGCGTTTCGGCACTGAAGGTTTCAGTGCCTCGGCCTTTTCGATGGTCGGATATATGGTTTGAATGCAACGATAAAACGGAGAAGAGTAAAAGACATCTATAGGAGGATCCACGGTGACAAGATGATCTGCAAGTTCGCGTGCTTGGCTGACCCCATATCCTGCCAGCGCAGGGTCGCTGGCGATTCCGGTTGGTGAAGGAATGGACGCTGAGTAGACGCCTGTCTCGGCGTCGACGACCCAATTCGAGCGGAACTGTGGCAATATTATCAGTGGTTGAAGGGAAAGCTAATAGTAGAGTTCCTTACGCCATGCCTTGTCACATAAATTACTTCCAACATTTTGTTGCTTTCTCGTTTGTGAAGTGGACGAGGGAGGGGCATCCGGATATATGATATATCGAATATGGAAGGCGGTGAGCTAGTCGCAATACAGGAGCATGGAAGGCGGAGCCTCGTTTAAATTAAAATATTGGGCTAAGTAGACAGTATCGATGTATCAGGTCGAAGCTTGCTCAGCTCCAGCCCGCTCAACGAATAATTCGAATTAGCCAACAATGGCTACAGCTTCATATACTTGCCAGAGATGCCTGGGGGCGCTCACAAACTCTCCCCGACTTCAAACGGCGAGCTTGAAGCTATGGCGGACTGGTACCCTCGGAGCAGGGCGTAGATCCATTTCAACCGGATTGTACAATAACTCGACACCACAGCGGCCTTCAGCCCAGCGCCCGTCGAAGAAAGCATCGGTAAAGAGATTACAGCCGATAACCGATTTTGCTGGACAGAAACCAAAGAGCGAGCCAGTACAGGGCCGGACTCCACCGGGCCTAGAATACACTCCCGCGCCAGAAACCGAAGGCCGCCCATTGTTACTTCCAAACAACCTCTTTCATCCATTCTCCGAATCGCCTTCTCCAGAAATTCGCCGCCGTGCTGCTTTTATGAAACAAAATGCATGGTGTCCAAATCATGCGCATCAACATACGCGATCAGTTCCAGATTCCAATAGCACGCAGAGCGCCCAAAAGTCTACCGGTACTATACCACCTGCGCACGTCAACTTCGAGTGCCCAGATTGTGGTATACCGGTTGCTTGCTGTGAGGAACACTGGGCAGAAGACTATGAGAAGCATCTGGAGGTTTGCGACACGCTCCGCGAGATCAACGAAGACGACCATGACCTCCGTTCTGGTCGCTTTTTCCCGGAATTTGAGTACCCAGGCGATCAGATTGAAGAAGCACTGGTGAATATGACAAACTGGGATACATTTTTATACTCTAGAGAGTTCACAGCAATCAATGACGAGAGGAGTTTACGCCAGGTAACGAGGCTATTGACGTATCCAGCAACAATCGGCAGCGTTCTGCATGAACTGAGCCCCTACTCGCTGAAGAGGGATGGGCGCCTTACCAATGAGGGTATGAAGAGCTTGAGTGCGCTCCGATATACCTTACATCCTGCTCGTACCGGAGGCGGTGGGGATATTAAGGGGTTGCGTCCAGCTCCTCCTCCAGTCAGAATCTTCATTCTGGGTGCCCGTGCCGAGTCGTCCCTTCCAAGAGAGGTCTGGGTTCAACTGACTCATTTGTTCCCAAGAGTCTCCTTCCATCTTGTCTTCATCGGCCCTGAAAGTATGGCCAACAGAGACAATGAATTTCCTTTGCCTCCCCGGACTCCCACCAATCCGTTTGGAGCTATTGTTGAAGACCGCATTACCAACTCCTTGAAGATCAGCACATTTGTTGAGTACTACCACACGCTACACGAGGCTGGTCAATTCTACCCGTACGATCCATACTTTGATTGCTTCATGCTATTCCATCCAGGATTGGGACACCCCGCAAGCACCCACGAATGGGAACAGACCATCCCTTTGTTGCTGGAGACAAAGGTGCCCATCTTTGTCACTGGATATACCCAATTTGATATGGATCGTGATATCGAATGGGTCAATAAGACTGTGGGCGGCGAAGTCGATTTATTGATGACGCCAGGAGAGAATCGCTTCAGAAGTTTAAGATGGGACATCAATGACCTTGATCCACAAGACATAAGCTGTGGAAACTGGGGTATCTGGGGCTTCAGAGGCAAGAGGTATGCACTACAATCCCGGACACTTATGAGCCTAATGCTAATTCTTCCAGATATGAGACGACACAGAAGGACGTCCCAGCGGCATGAATTTAAGGGGATAAGTCCGTATGCATAGTGTAAAGTAGGTGTATTTATATGACGGCTATTTGTAGACCAATACCTACCTGTATATTCAATAAAATCAATCTTCACCACACAAAAATTAGGCTTAGACTCTACGTCATTCTATAGCTTGCTGTACCACAGCCTATCCATCTGGCACGTACATATATAGGCGCGCTTAAGCTGGCGCGCTTATGAGCACATACCAAACAGTAAAGAGGCGCGCGCAGGGGGCGATAGCTAAATGAACCATGTAAAATTCCTTCATGCCTTGATCTTTATTGCGTAGCTGCACGGCGCAATTATTCTTATGCGTAGTGTCAAATAATTATATTTACTCTGATGTGAAACTTCGAGCTTTGGTGTAGAATCAGCTCCATGTACTAGCCCACGAATAATTCTAGCCAATCAACGCACGGCCCTCAGTTTATGAGGAACTTTTCAACGCGCCGACCTCTTTACAGTTGTGCGTCAAGCTGCTTTGCCAGCGACCATAATGAAGACTCCATCCACCAACCTGTGGAGCTGATACACGACCACCTATAAAGCTGCAGCGGCCTGCTGCGCAAACCGCAATTCAATATGGCGACCACCTCGTCCATGTTCATGTACTCCTTGACAATACAACCTCCAACGGCGGTCACACAGGCTATTTTGGGCCAATTCGCTGGTACGAAAGAGCAGCAAATTGTAACTGCATCAGGATCTCGCCTTACTCTTCATAGACCCGATCCATCACAAGGGAAGATTGTCACAGCCTTAACACACGATGTGTTTGGCATCATCAGGACATTGGCAGCCTTCAGATTAGCAGGCAGCAACAAGGGTAAGTCAAACAAACACCTCCAAATGAAAGCTTCATTTAGTGATTCGTGGAAGCGTGTTGGGCAGTCCAAAATCTGGAGTGGCCCCACAGCTTCTCCTGGTGCATGGAGCTAGCACAATTTTCTCCAAGGATTTCTTTGCTAATTTCTGAAAGACTATATAATCATTGGATCCGACTCTGGCCGCATCACCATTGTTGAATTTGTTCCTGCACAGAACAGATTTAACCGACTTCATCTCGAAACATTCGGAAAGTCTGGTGTCCGGCGTGTGATTCCCGGACAATACCTCGCGGTCGATCCAAAGGGCAGAGCGTGTCTCATCGCGTCTGTCGAGAAGAACAAACTCGTCTATGTCTTGAACCGCAATTCACAGGCCGAGCTGACGATATCATCACCGCTCGAGGCCCATAAAGCTCAAACTTTGGTTTTTGCCCTAGTGGCACTAGACGTTGGGTATGCAAATCCAGTTTTCGCTGCCCTAGAAGTCGACTATGGCGACTCCGACCAAGACCCTACAGGTCAGGCGTTCGAAGAGATTGAGAAAACCTTAGTCTACTACGAGCTTGATCTTGGGCTGAACCATGTTGTCCGCAAGTGGTCTGACCCTGTCGATCGAACGGCAAGCATACTGTTCCAAGTTCCTGGTGGGACTGACGGACCGAGTGGAGTTTTGGTTTGTGGTGAAGATAACATCACATACCGCCATTCCAACCAAGAGGCCTTCCGTGTTGCTATTCCCCGACGGAAAGGTGCGACAGAAGATCCCCAACGGAAGAGGTCGATTGTCGCTGGTGTGATGCACAAAATGAGAGGTGCTGCTGGAGCGTTCTTCTTCCTCCTTCAGTCTGATGATGGAGATCTCTTCAAAATAACCATCGAAATGATCGAGGATGACAATGGGCAGCCAACCGGCGAGGTCAGGCGCTTGAAGATTAAATACTTCGACACCGTTCCGATCGCAACGAGCCTCTGCATTCTAAAGAGTGGATTCCTGTTTGTTGCGAGCGAGTTTGGAAATCATCAATTCTACCAATTTGAGAAGCTGGGCGACGATGATGATGAGACTGAATATATCAGCGACAACTTCCCAACGGATCCAGCGGAGCCATACACGCCCGTCTATTTCCACCCTCGCCCAGCAGAAAATCTGAATCTGGTGGAAAGCATTGATTCCATGAATCCTCTCATGGATTGCAAGGTTGCCAACCTGACAGAAGAAGATGCTCCACAGATATATTCCATCTGTGGCACAGGGGCTCGTAGCACTTTCCGTACCCTGAAACATGGATTGGAAGTCAACGAGATCGTGGAATCCGAACTCCCTGGTGTGCCATCTGCGGTTTGGACTACAAAACTTACTCGGGGTGATGAGTATGATGCATATATCATTCTGGCATTTTCCAACGGCACACTTGTGCTCAGTATTGGTGAAACTGTTGAGGAAGTGACGGATACCGGGTTCCTTTCTTCAGCTACAACTTTGGCTGTTCAGCAGCTCGGCGAGGATGGTTTGATTCAGGTGCACCCTAAGGGCATCAGGCATATCCGAGCGGATCGCCGTGTTAATGAATGGGCGGCACCACAGCATCGCTCGATCGTTGCAGCCACCACGAACGCGCAGCAAGTTGCCGTGGCTCTCAGTTCCGGAGAAATTGTCTATTTTGAAATGGACTCAGATGGAAGTTTAGCAGAGTACGACGAAAAACGCGAGATGAGCGGCACAGTAACATGCTTGAGTCTTGGGGAAGTCCCGGAAGGTCGTGTAAGGAGTAACTTCCTTGCAGTTGGATGTGATGATTCAACTGTCCGAATTCTCAGCCTCGATCCTGACTCCACTCTTGAAAACAAGTCTGTCCAGGCGTTGACGTCGGCGCCTTCGTCGCTATCAATCATGGCAATGACAGACTCTTCGTCTGGTGGATCCACACTTTATCTTCACATCGGGCTCTACTCTGGCGTGTATTTGAGGACTGTTCTGGACGAAATCACTGGTGAATTGTCCGATACGAGAACACGGTTCTTGGGACCTAAGCCAGCCAAACTGTTCAGAGTTTCTGTTCAGGGCCAAACGGCAGTACTAGCTTTGAGCTCTAGGCCTTGGCTTGGATATTCCGACCCGGTCACGAAGGGCTTCATGTTAACGCCTCTCGACTACGCGGGACTTGAGTGGGGCTGGAATTTCAGCAGCGAGCAGTGCCCGGAGGGAATGGTTGGAATCCAAGGGCAAAATTTACGGTACGCAATTCTCTCCTCTTTCCTCTTCCCCCTTCCCAGCATTATGATGATTTTCTTATCGTTAAAACCTTACGTCCCACGTGACTATGAGGATTAATTATTAAAATCCAATTGTTCCTTCTGAATGCTATACTATGAATTATATTTCATGATAAACTTCCAAACGTTTTGGAAGAAGCTAATTGATATATCTCAGGATCTTCTCAATCGAAAAACTCACAGAAAACCTCCTTCAACACTCAATCCCACTGTCTTATACCCCCCGCCGATTTGTCAAGCATCCTGAACACCCATACTTTTACGTCATCCAGTCCGACAATAATATTCTCTCCAAAAGCACGAAACAGAAGCTGTTAGAAGATCCTTCGCTCCAGAATGGCGACTCCGCCGTTCTGCCTGCTGAAGAGTTCGGATATCCTCGTGGCAGGGGCCATTGGGCATCCTGCATTCAGATCGTGGACCCTATCAGGGAAAAGAAGGTCCTACAGCAGATCGACCTCGAAGATAACGAGGCAGCTGTCAGCATGGCAACTGTATCCTTTGCAAGCCAAGAAGATGAAGTATTCTTGGTTGTCGGTACGGGGAAGGATATGGTGGCGAGCCCCCGTTCATCATCGGGTGGTTTCATCCATGTGTATCGTTTCCACGAAGACGGGAAGGAAATCGAGTTCATCCATAAAACCAAGGTCGAAGAGCCTCCGCTTGCACTCCTTGGGTTCCAAGGAAGGCTTCTCGTTGGCATCGGCAGAGAGCTGCGGATATACGACTTGGGAATGCGTCAACTTCTGCGCAAGGCACAGACTGAGATTGCTGCGTCCTTAATTGTCGGTCTCCAAACGCAGGGTAGTCGCATTATCGTCAGTGATGTTCAGGAGAGCATTACTTTCGTCGTCTACAAGTTCCAAGAAAACAAGCTCATCCCTTTCGCGGATGACACCATTGCGCGCTGGACAACCTGCACGACGATGGTCGATTACGAGACCGTAGCCGGTGGAGACAAGTTCGGTAACCTCTGGCTTCTGCGTTGCCCAACCAAGGCAAGCGAGGAAGCAGACGAAGAGGGTTCCGGCGCCCACCTGGTCCACGAGCGTCAATATCTTCAGGGAGCGCCCCACCGCGTTGCTCTGATGGCGCACAACTTCGCGAATGATATCCCAACCAGCATCCAAAAGACGAATCTCGTAGCAGGTGGACGCGACTGTCTGCTCTGGAGCGGTCTGCAGGGCACGATTGCCATCATGATCCCGTTCGTCAGCCGTGAGGACGTCGATTTCTTCCAGACGCTTGAGCAGCACCTGCGCACTGAGGATGCGCCGCTAGCAGGGAGAGACCATCTCATCTACAGGAGTTATTACGTCCCGGTCAAGGGTGTCATTGATGGAGATCTGTGCGAGCGGTACACGCTGCTGCCTACGGACAAGAAGATGATGATTGCTGGAGAGTTTGACAGGAGCGTGCGCGAGATCGAGAGGAAGATTTCTGTAAGTCCTCACTGAATCCGTTTCACGATTGTAATAACAAATACTAATATTGGTTCTTAGGATATGCGAACTCGCTCAGCATACTAGGAGAGGGGGCTATTTTGAACCCCGGGTGGGATCGGGTTGTATGTGTAATAACAACATTGCGTTATGTAAATTCTCTATATATGAGAACAACAGAGATATCAATGACTGTCCGCCTCAACGGCGCAACAATATAAAAAAACTCACAAACCCATATATATATCTTCGCCGTGACTCTTCGTGACCAACATCTACATTAACCCTGTGCAGACAATCGCCCATCTCACCGCCATCATCCTACCACCACCCCCCCCATTACCATCCACATTCCCAGACCCCAACCCCCCTCCCCTCCCCCTCCCCCTGCCCCTCAACACCCCCCGGACTCACCATGGATACATGGAATCACGCTGTTGGGAACGTGTGTTGTTAGGTTAGCGGGGTGGCTCGGGGCCGAAGAGAGAGTATGTGTCTGTGTGTGTCTGAGAGAGAGAGAGAGAGGCACGGCAGAGGTGTCTAATGTGTGTGCGTGAGGGTGAGTCCCCCACCGCAACCAGAACGCTGTCTAGGCTTCTTCCTCCACCATCTTGGTTGTGGGGTTCTGAAAAAGGGGGGGGGGGGTGAGTGGGGTGGGTTGCTGTATTTTTGCTCGTGGTGATGGGTTACTGTGTTACTGGGTTACTGGATGGAGAGGAAGATTGCAAAATATAAATTCGTTGATCTATCGTATCTGCTTTGCTACTGATATTTCTACATGCACCCAACCACGTAGGGTTCCCCTCCACGGTGCCGAGTTGCGACGGGTCATATAGATACTCATCCATATCCATATCCACGCCCCCACCCCATCCTTCCCAGCCTCCCAGCCTCCCATCCAGCCCATCCAGCCCATCCAGCCCATCCAGACCCCTCCCCAAAAAAAATGCATAACTCCGCGCAAAGCTACACAAAGTCTATGCATCAAATTGCAGGTGAGCCAACCCTCAGACAAAAAACTCCAGACAAAAAACTCCAGGCAAACAAACATCACCCCACTCACATAACAACACACCCCCCACTCCTCGCCCTCCTCCTCCCCCCCCAGCCATCCCACTCCCCTCCTCATCCAACCCCCTCTCCGCCTCCCTCGCCCTCCTCCTCCTCCTCCTCCCCCCCTCCCCTCCCCCACCTCCTCACTCGCAACCATATGTTCCGCCCACTTCCTCTCCAGCCTCTCCGCCCCCTGTCTCTCCCCCGCCAGCACGCGCTTAAGGTGTTCGTCTACCGTCATCTGCCAGCCGTAATAGCATTTCAACGCCACCACTTCCCGGCGCCCGGGAGGTAGGGAAAGCATCTCCGAGTTGCGACTCAGGATTTCTCGGATCCCGGGCCAGGTTATGTGGGGGCAGTCGAAGATGACGAGTTTGAGGGTTGGGGTGGCGCGGACTTGGAGGGAGGAGATGGTGGGGAGGGGGAGAGGGGTGAGGGAGGCGCGGGTGCGGACCATTTGGGCGGCTTCGGCGAGGACGAGGTCTGTTATGGCGGTGTTGTCCATATCCAATGCCTTCAGTCCCGTCGCGGCCCTTAGCAGCGGTAGGACACCTAGGTCCCCGATATTCTCGCAATACGACAATGTTAGGTGTGATAAGTTTGGCGCACAGAGCGATTTGGACAAGTGCGAGGAGAGGAAGGTGTTACTCAGGTTAGAGACTTCTTCGAGATCCAAATGCGTGAGGTAGGGTGTCGTGGCGACGAGGGCGGAGAGGGAGGAATCGGTTAGCAGCGCGCAGGAGGAGAGTTGGAGACCCTGCAGGTAGGGGACGCAGTGGGCGAGGGACTCGAGAGCGGTGTCTGTTAGCCGTGAACAGCGGGAGAGGTCGAGGTGCCGCAGCTTGCGGGCAGGGACGAGGGGGAGGTTGGTGAGGATATCTGTGTCTGGGTCGGTGGAGCCTTGGATCATGGTTTGTAGCGTTGCGTCCGTGATGTCTGAGCAGCCGCTCAAGACTAAGCGCTCAAGGTTATTCGTTTTAAACAGCGCCGTAGCGACCTCGAGACCAGCGGCGCCGCTGAACCCGCGCACCTCGCCGCAGCGGAGGTCCCGCAGTTTAGGGCACCCGGCGATGACGAGTTTGAGTCCGCGCGAGTCCATGTGGCTGCACCACGAGACGTTGAAAGACTCAAGTTGAGGGCAGGATTTGGAGATGATCTTGCAGGAGCCGTTGTTGACTGCCGCGAGGTCGGTGAGGTTCAGGTGTGCGAGTCGCTGGTTGCTGGAGAGGAGGATGTGGAGGGTTGCGCGCTGGAAGTTGCGGCACCCTTCGAGGGTGGCGGTTATCAGGTTGTTGCAGGATTTCACGACGACATCGGCGCGGTTGTAGTGCTCGACTTGGACGCAGCCGCGGAGGTTTAGGTCTTTGACGAAGGGGCCGGCTGCTGAGACGATCTTGGCTAGGGAGTCGGCGGGAATGGCGGTGTAGAACTCGGAGGCGTCGAAGCAGGTCCATAGCTGGCCGTCAAAACACATGGAATAGAAGAGGCGGCTGACGATGGATGCTCGGACCAGGTCTTTGGGTCTTAGATGGCTCAAAACCGACAGTCTCAGTTCCTCCGGCAGATTCCCCCAGAAATCAAAATTCGGATTCGGCTTGCTGGGCTTTATGGCCGACAATGCCACCGGATGAGCAAAGTATCCCTCGTCGATCTCGATAATATCAGAGTCGACTGTCTGGATCCCTGGGTGTGAGGTGTGAGAACTCCCCGGCCCGCCATCGTCCAAATTCGCAGTCCACGGTCGACTTGCGAGGTTCGACAGTCCACTCACTGACGTAGGCGGGGTGCTCCCACTAGATATAGGAGTAGTGGCCTGATGTCCCGTAACCAGCCTCGAGAAACTCGAGCTGCTGCCAGCCTGGCTCGATTGTATGTTTGAGAAGCTGATTGCAGAACCCCTGCTGCTTGTGCTCGAGTATGGATTGCTTATGGCTCGTTTCCTGCTGAGGCCCTTGAGGGACGTCGCTGAGGACATTCGTTCCAGGCTGTGGAGGAGGCGTTGTCTCCCTTTGAGTTTTGGGGGTGGTTCTATTGGCTCCATCTCAACTTGTGAGGGGATTATGGAGTCGATGGTGTCGAGTGGTTCGAAGGTATCCATGGTGGTGGTGTGAGAAGCGTCTATAAAAAGGCAGACGCTGGTGCTAATGATGATGGAAATATACAACGCTATTGTACGACAAATGGTGTATCTCGAAGTTGCGACGTATCCGGAAACGAAAAAAACGTCTGATCAAGCAGACATCGCCGACTCGGTCGACGAGTTATGATGAGAAGTGAAGAGAAGCAACATGCGGCTGAGCGGCCGTAGAACGAAACGAAGAAAACTGAATGATGGAGAAGTGAAGTCAGTTGGAAGTCGAGATCCTGCGACGTGTGTGGGAAAGGTTTGCTTGTGTGTCTTGCGGGGCTGTTTCTGGTGTAGTTCGGTGCGGATGCGGGAGGTAGAAGAAAGTAGAGTGAGAGGTTGGGGGAAGAAGGAAGGTAGGTGCTACTATTCGCAAAGTAACAGTAACAGAACAGTTGATCTGTCTATTCGCAAAGTAACAGTAACAGAACAGTTGATCTGTCTATTCGCAAAGTAACAGTAACAGAACAGTTGATCTGTTACAGTCGGAGTGGAGGAGGAGGGAGGAGGAGGGAGGAGGATACAGAATTGTCTTCTATGGAGCGCTTTATCCCCAGCCACATGGACGAGGACGAGGACGAGGGCGAGGGCGAGGACGAGAAAGTATGGTAGGAGAGGCACGAGGGGGTGGGATGGTGTGTGAATAGAGTGTCTGGGTCCCAAGTTGTGTATGAGTACACGGCGGGTCATAGTATGGGGTGTGAATAAGAAAGGAAAGGGAATGGGGAGGAGGATGGGGGGATGATGGGGGGATGATGGGGGGTGGATGGGGGGATGGGGGGTGGATGGATGGGGGGTGGATGGGGATGGGGGGTGGGATGGATGGGGGTGGATGGGGATGGGGGTGGATGGGGATGGGGGGTGGATGGGGATGGGGGTTGGATGGGGATGGGGGGTGGATGGGGATGGGGGTTGGATGGGGATGGGGGGTGGATGGGGATGGGGGTTGGATGGGGATGGGGGGTGGATGGGGATGGGGGGTGGATCCATCCCACCCCTGGTGTTGAGGAGAGGGTGTGAGTGGGTGTGAGAGGGTGTGAGTGGATGATTAGGGCTTCGGATGTGTTTGTATGGTAGAGTTTGGTACAGTACGGATGTTTTTCATTGATTCTTGGTTCGGTGGTTCTATTGTAAGAGAAAAAAGAGCCGTGAGAGGCTAACGAGGGGGGAAGGAGGTGGGAAGGAGGGGGAAGGAGTGGATGTAGTGGATGTAGTGGATGTAGTGGATTTAGAGGGGGATAGAGGGAGGGGTTGTGAGCGTGGATAAGAGGTGGATAAGAGATGGTGGTAGGTTGGAAGTGGGTCGTCACAAGTACTCGAGGGAAAAAAAGTACATGGAAGCGTATGTACATCGCTCTAGCTTATCCTTGAACGAAGCACATAATTGGGCAGATTTCCCATCATTTTTTTCCCCTATTCTTCCTCAAGAAATACCCGTACATGAGCTCTCTCAAACTTCCCTCTATTTAATGGTGTATAATCGTCAACTTGATCTTTGAGGTAATCAAAGTGTAACACTACTTCCTATCTAATAGGAGGCATAGAGGTTTCTTACATAAGGTTTAACTTGACAGAGGAGGCAGGGGATCAGACACAAAGACTTTCCAAGTAACATGTTATAGTATTGTAAAGAATACTATATTAAGTTGAGCACAAAGCTCCTATCTAAGGGAATACTATCTACTTCATAACACTTAATAGCTACAGTAGGACCCCTGTTATAGCGATGTAATTTTGACAACACTTGAATATCGTTATAATTGAAATATCGGTATACTGGAAACATGTAATTTAAATTGAATGACTATGTAAACCAACTATCTAGAGTACTCTGCTGCCTCGATGATATTACTAGGGCTTCAATATCAGTAGTAAGGCATCCTAAGGCCCTAGAATATGATTTTCCAAGCTTGTTCTGTAATGGTGGGTGCACCATGTTACGATTACAGCTCACAGCTTGTCACAGCTTGTTACGGTTGTTACGGTTATTACAGTTACTACAGTTATTACAGTTATTATGGTTGTTATGGGGATTACGGGTGTAGCCTTAGCCACCAAGGTTACAACTGCTAAGCAGACAACTGTATGTTATGAGGAATAGCCTCACCTTCCTTCCTGTCACGGTTCACCAAGGCATAGGGCGCCAGTTGGGTATTATGAATTAAACTCAATCTAGAGAAGAAAGGAAAGAGAAGAGGAGCACTTGAGCAGTGGCTCGATCTATATACAGCTATGTTGTTGTGGAGTGAATTCTCTTTAGCGAGACCAGTTCTGAGAATTCACTCCACAACTGAAAACTTCGCTCCAACCCCGGAAAGCTCCCCACACCCCTGAACCCCCACTCGAGCTGCAAGGCGCACTTGATATCGTAACACTTCCTTCTGTAATGGTGGGTGCACCAGATGTGAGAATCTAGCCACCCAAGGAAGGGATGATTTTACTAAGACAACACACTGTCTTAGGAAACAGAGCCAAAGGGTTGTAGCTTAGACTATTCCACAACGCAGCAATCAGGTGTGTGATGTAGTGAAGTGGTTCAGACAAGTTGCAACAAATGTTGAGTCTGGGAACTCAGGGGTAAGTCAGAGGTTAACACCTCACTGACTTTTCAGAAACAAGGAGTAACAAGATCAATGCTTGGAAGCTTGGAAAAGACGTGGAAGTATGTGATAGTCGATTTACTGTATTGTCTGCTTGCCCTTTCTTAAGGAAAGGGCAATCCTATTTATGCTAAAGGAGTGTAGTTCTCTCATTTTCCAAGACTTTCCATGATTACCAGGCTTGGTAACTGTAGTCAATGTAAGAGAATCCCATAGAACCATCTCTTAGGTTCGTAGCCTATAGGAAGTAAAAGGAGGTCCAAGGTCAGAGTACCCCTATAGACAAATTATGTCATAGACAAATTATGTCATAGACAAATTATGTCATAGACAAATTATGTCATAACTTAACCAATCTTGTGGGTAACTAAAGAGCGATGACATGTAATGAATCATAGAGGTTCGTAGGAGCTTTTAGAGCCATCGTTCATGCTCCTAGGCCTCTAGTTGGTAGAGATATGTCATGTGGTAGTATGAGTGATGTCATGTAATGAATCATAGAGGGTTGTAGAGATATGCTATGTGGTAATATCGGCCCAGTAACTAAGGAGCGATGACGTGTAATGAATCATAATGGTTGTAGCAATCGTTGAGTAGTATTGCTCTTGTTGTTGGTGTGATAAGCCAAAATATGTATAGTGACTTGTAGGTTTGAGGAGGAGATTTCCAAGTTTGCTCTTGAGTTTGATAGCAAACTGAGTGCAACGAATGTCAGTATGACATGAAGGCACTGAGCTGAGTTGAGTGAGGCAGTGTCCAAGTCGACATCGTCGTTCAGTGTGCTCTGAATTCTAGCACCACTTCCTGAAAGTCGAAAATCCTGTCCGGCTGTGAGTACATTCTCTGAACCAAACCTGAAGCCCAGGTCAGATCTCCCAGCCCTGCAGCAGCTTCTGCAAAATCATCGACTGGTTGGTTGAGTTCCATAATTGGCAACTTCGCCTTGACACAGTCCTGATATAATGTAATCCACTTATCGAGCCAGTCGTCGACACTTCCCACTCCCTTCTTGTATGCTTTCATTGTATTCCATTCTCGAGTGAGTGCCTTCTTATAAGCCAGCTGTGTTGGTCTCATCCGGCTCTGGAGATTTCTCAGCATATGATATCCTGATTCGCAGTCGTTGGTGAGAGAGAGAAGGTTCACGTGAACTATCGTCCTGATATAACCTCGTACATCGAGGAGCGCCTGAATCTGATGATCATAGGCCTTCAATTCGTACTTCCAATTTGTATACGCCTCTTCTTCGTCGTTTCTGAGGCGTCGAGCCTGTCCAGGAGTCAATGCCACATCGTCGTCAGGGAGCTCAACAGCTTCCTTTTTAGGGCGAGCTGGAACTGTCGTATTATTCTCAATCGAAGGATCGCAATACAACCATATCCTAACGGTGCAATACTCCCTGACTTGGGCAAGCCATGGAAACCAGTCCCTATCTGTCGTCAGGACCGTCTTCACCTTCACAGTGTCGGATGACGACATCCTATCTTTGTACGTCGTGGGTTCCTTCGGAGGAAGGGCTCGTTTGAAATAGGGGTAATTCGAGTTCTTGAGACGACGGAGAGCAATACTGCTAGAGGAAGGTAGCCGGGCTCATAACTCTTAGTTGGGCGCTAGGGTACAAATCACTGGAGCGATCAACCAACTGATATATCAAGAATGGCTTCAATAGAATATATATTGTCTGGAGAGCAACGTCCTGAGCCAGCGCCAGGATGTTGCACTCGGTGAGTAAACTAAGCCTATATAGTTCTATATGTGAGACATCTACATGAGAATATCGAACACGTGACATGAACAGCTTCAGTCCCAACTGAGACAAACTGAGTGCAACGAATGTCAGTATGACATGATCCCCCTTTTAAGGACGTTTGTTGGCTGTCTGCTTGCCCTTTAGCCAGTTGGCTTTCTTAGAAAGAAATTCTAGAATGAGCTTAGATGCATTTTTTAGATTTCTCTTAGGCTCCCAAGTGTTGTCACTTGTAGGATAGCCTTTCCACTTAACGAGGAAGTAGTCCTGACCTCTAAGTGTCTTTTTGTCAAGGATAGACTCTACTTCATATTCTGGTTGATCCAAGATCAGAACAGGAGGTGGAGGAGACTGAAGTGGTCTTAAGGAACTTTCTTGTGCCTTAGACAAGAGAGATGCATGGAAGACATTATGGATAGTCCAAGTAGGTGGTAATGCAAGCTCGAAAGCATTCTTGCCAATAGTCCTTGTGATCTTAAAAGGTCCAAGTCTTTTAGTATCAAGTTTGTCTGAAGGTCTAGTAGTTGTGATATGTCTTCTAGACAAAAAGACTTGATCACCAACTTTGAATTGTGGTGCAACCACCCCCCTGTTAAAGGCCTGAGCCTGCTCGTCTTGTGCACGCTGTATTTGAACCTTGAGATAGTCCTGGAGGCCCTTAAGGTAGATGATTCTTTCAGTAGCAGAAGGGTTTTTGAAATTTTCAGGACAATTCAGTTCTGCCACTTCAAACCTAGGGTGATAACCATAGTTTGCATAGAAAGGTGTCTCTTTTGTGGTGTTAGAGACTGTGTTGTTGTAAGCAAATTCTGCAAGATGGAGAAGATCTGCCCAGTTGTCTTGAGCATAGTTTGTATAAATTCTTAGATATTGTTCAAGTACAGAGTTGACTCTCTCTGTCTGGCCATCTGTTTGAGGGTGATAAGCTGTAGAGAAGCGTTGTTCCATGTTTAAGAGTTTAGAGAACTCCTTAAAAAAGTTTGAAGTGAAAACTGCTCCCCTATCTGAGATCCAGTGTCCAGGAATTCCATGATATTTAAAGACCACCTTGAGGAATAGCCACGCAAGTTCAGAAGCTGTGATAGTCTCATT